GATACTCGACGGTGTTTCGGTGGCGGTTCGTACTTGTTCCGTGACCGTTTCGCTAGTGATCTCATCGGTTTGATTGCTGATGCCTTGTTGTGCTATCATCTCTTCGAGGCGGCGGATTCGCTCTCCTTGTGCGGCGGAGAGTCGTTCCTGGGTTGCCGCGTGCTGCTCTTGTGCAGTCACCATCCGCTGTTGGGAGGTAGTGAACTGCTCCATTGCTTCGCCATGGGCTTGTTGATTCCTCATCATCTGTTGCATTATAGCTTCCACCCACTGTGGGGGTGTACTCTGCTGAGCCTGAGGTTCCATGGTTACTGGTATTCTGTTGGTGCTTCGTCGCTGAATCGGGGGTGATTCAGGGGTAATTCTTCTGCTATGCCTAGGGATTGTCGCTTCTAGGGCTTTTCCGTTGGGGTCCGATGGTTTAACGATAAGAATCGGAAGATTGATGTATGTGAAGGGCTGAAGCTTTATTGATTCAATTAGGCTAGGCCAACATGCTGTTTACATCAATCTTAGAGAAAAGGTAACTATCTACTGGCGATGGGGGTTTATGTATGTTATGGGCACGTGCCTCACGTGATCCAAGCCGGGCTCTGGCCCGTTACACTACGGGTGTCCTATAGGAGTCCCGCGGGAGTCCCGTAGGAGTCCTATAGGAGTCCTATCAAGTCAGGGGTATAGTCAGTTTTAAGGGTCAACCCGATCCCCTAGCATTTTGATAGAATTTCTTATATAAAGGCTTCCAAAGCTCAATTTTCTGATCCCAGTTAAAAAACTGACAGTCGTATCAAATCATTGTATCTTCTACTGCCATTTTTCTGACCTCGGTCAGAAAATTGATAGTCGTATTAAGTCATTATATAAAGGCTTCTAAAGCTCATTTTTCTGACCTCGGTTAGAAAATTGGTAGTAGTGTCAAATCATTATACTTCTAAACCTACTATATACTAATACTACTACTATATATATATAATTAAATTACTTAAAAATATAAAGAAAAAATATATAAATAATATAGGTCACGAGGTTAAGGAATTCTACTTAGTTACTAAAAGGCCTTAAGGCCTATAGGCAGTGCCTACCCGCCCGTCTATAGGCGATATCGCAGTCCAGACATTGATTTCTATACTAATAATATAATATTAAGAGTAGTTTTGAAATAAAAGGATAAAATAAAGACCTATCTAGACTGCGACATCGCCCATGGACGGGCGGGTGGGCAGTGCCCACAGGCCTTATGTAAGCGGGCGATGGGCACTATCCATACGCCCATGGACGGGCCCTACCCTTAGGGCCCATTGTCCATGGACACCGTGGGCGCCCATGGGCCTTTTTAGTAAGCAGAATTTCTTGACCTCGTGACCTGCATTATTTGTGCATTTTTTTCTCTGTATTTTTGAGTAATTCGATTACATGTACAATGACTTGATACTACTGTCAATTTTCTGACCGAGGTCAGAAATGAGCTTTAGAAGCCTTTATACAACAACTTGACACATTGTCACTTTTTTGACCGGGGTCAGAAATAAGCCTTGGAAGCCTTTGCATAATGACTTAGGCATTCATTATATTCATATATTTACACTAATACGATACAAATTGATCATTATTAGGTTTGCCACGCTTCCTTGCTTCTCTTAAACCAGGGCGCTTTTGAGTGCTACCCTTATCTCCATAATGAGGGAGATGAGGACTGCTCTTATCTTCGCTGTCGACTAGCTCACTTCTCTGTCGCTTCCGCGTACTTAGCACTATAGAAGGACGAGGAAGCTGACTCTCCATCATAAACTCATACTCGATCAGTCCAACAGGATCATTATCCTCGGAATCCTCACTATCGCTGATTGGTTCAGGCATGTCAGTGGTAAGCTTAGCCTCTCTCTGTTCGTCTGCTTCTTGCATTGAATCCAAGGACGTATCCTCATCGGGTAGTTCTTCTATTTCAATGTCGAACTGGGTTTTATACCGGAACATTATGATATCCTGGACTGTCTTCGTACTCAGCCGCCCACGTCGGTAGTGGCAGACATCCCGTGCTAAATTGAAAAGACGTTCAACTCTAGCGCCTGTTGCAGGAATAGAGAGAATGTCGCGAGCAACACTGGAAAGAATTGGGAATTCATTACCTGGTCGAAGTTCTCCCAGACATCTAATATGTGTTTTGCATCCTATCGTAGCCTTTGTTGTGTCTCAGTACTGCTGCCGCGTACTGTGGTACGCCACCACTCGATAAACTTTACTTTGGACGCGTTGTTCATCGCGTCGTAGAGGATAAACTGCTTTCTCCGATCGGGGCCGACGCGTTTGAGAGAGCAATCAAGAATAGCCGGTTGAGTGAACTCGGACTCTATCAGTGAGATAGAAGTCTGTTGGCTGTTGAAGAGACTGGGATCAATATTTGGATTAAGGTTAGGATCAAATATATCGGCGACGTAGGAGAGGTCTGGTTGGGAGCTCGGAGGAAGTGAAGAAGGCCCTGCGGTATAGGCACTAGGTTGGGACATGGTTAATGTGATGTAAGGGATAATATAACGACTATAGGAGAGTGAGTGATCTGAACTTACAATAGGTAACTTGCGACCGTGTGAAACGAGGATTACTAGTAAAAGGGGTGCTTTGTATAGATCTGATAGATCGTAAATTGAGTGTAGACCCACTATATATTATAAGCTGATTGGCTATAAGTGTCTTTGTCCATGGGCATGCCCGTGGGCACGCCCGTGGGCACGCCCATGGGAACATACCTAAACGCCCATCTTGAGTTACAATCGAAGGATTTAAAACTCCCAGAATAATAACACAAGTCTTTGAGTGATATAATTGACAGAATTTAGTGATATAAGCTTATAAAATAAGAATTATACTAATTATCTTTCGATCTACCTATGAGAAATATACTAGAGTGAGAGATAAAGTAGAATCCATAAGTAGTATTTAGACTGCGACAACGCCCGTTTTTGTGGAGACATTTTTAGCGTCGCCAAGACATATGCGGGCACTCTTGGCACGGTGGGTACTGCCAAGAACTAGTTATGTACATAAAATCGCCGAATAGGGTAATTTTTGCATTATTTTTGCATAAGGATGGGCGATGGGCGTCGAATTTCAAAAGGCCCACGGGCCGTGGACACTTTCTAGTGCCCATGGACGGGCGATGTCGCAGTCTAGTAGTATTTTACTTATAGAAAATGCCAGGCATGTACCACTGACTTAAATATATATCTTCAAGCTGTTACAGTATGATTTGATAAGTTAATAAAAATACCACACAATATGATGTATTTCGATTAAAATTTTATTCCAATTCGTATCATATATATACTAGTTTCTCATATACATAGATATTTCAGTAAAATTTATAGATGTTGTAGATTAAAACTGCCATTTTACATGGAGTTGGCAAAACAGGTGTAAATAACAGTTATTTATTATGCAAAGTCAGCGAGTTATACGTCCATTTTGGGTGACTTTATGCAATGGTGGGCATCGTGGGCATGCCCGCCGTGGGCATGCCCGTGGGCCTTGGGCGTTATGGACGGGCACTCGAAAATCCAAATAGCCCAAGGCCCACCGTGGACGGGCCTTGGGCACCTCCTAGGTGCCCATGGACGGGCGATGTCGCAGTCTAGACCTATCTATAGTATCTAATACTGTAAAAAAAAAGGATTTATTATATTTTGGTATAATTTTTAATATGTGTAGAGCTTAGTTGAAACTGGAGAGTATAGCATATATGTGAATATATATATCTCTACTAACTGACTATAATACTAAGTCAACAACTTCTTCTTAATCTCCTACACCTAATTTTACATATTTAAGCTTACTTTTGCTTGAATATAATATTTAAATATATGGCTGAGATATTCATCTTCTATTTTTAATAGTATACTATATAAAAAAGTTAGATTGCTACAAACTTGAAGTGAGAATGTTAATACACCTATAAAAAACAGTATTTTATCTGCTGAGTTAGCATTTTTGTGCAACCAAAATAGGAAATGCTTGGCAAAAATATGTATGCCATAGGACCATATGGGAGTCCCATCACTCCCATGGGACTCCCATGGGACCACTATGGTAATGGGACCAAAATTTTGGCTAGTCCCATGGGAGTGATGGGACCAGGATATGGGACCAAAATTTTTCTAGTCCCATGGGAGTTGGCAAGGTCTAATAAGCGTTATATTTGATAGTGCCTCGATACCGCGAGAGGGGTCGGCCTAGTTGTTAACTAAGCTCGTTACGGCGCTAGACTAGTACTAGAATTTCCGGCCTTTAATTAACCGAGGACGATTGTATAGTCGTTAGGTCTTACGGCCGGTTTAGGTCGATAGTCCTACTCATTCGGTAGGCTGCGTATATAATATCCTCGTCTAGATTGAGACCGCGAATTAAGGTAGGTAGGTTTTTATTAATCCTCCTATTAAGGTAGTACTTTAGAAAGGTACGAGTATCGGAATAGTATATAATCAGATTACGAAGAGAGTCGCTTACAGAACCTAAATAAAAGAAACTATAATTAGTAAATTGTGATTGCGTACGATATATATATATATAAAATTATTTACCGCTATTATCTAACGCTTTGGTAGCGCTATATCGTAAGCTATAAGGGAGAGTAACTTGTCGAAATCTAGTAATAACTCCAATTGTTTTGACCTACGGGAGTAGCGTAGAGTATAGTAGAGGTTTTTTAGGGGAGATACTTATTCCTTATAACGACCGTTCTATTTGTCGGAATACTAGAATATCGTCTAAAGCCGGATCGAGGAGTAATAGAAGTTTATTACAATCTTCCGGAATATTTAGACGAGGGAGCTGATCTGCGGAGAACAAAACCTCCTATCCCTCGACCCGTTTGAAAGTACGATCCCCGAAGAGTAAGCCTAGTAAAGAGATATGTGGACTAAGAATAAGCGATAGGTCAAAAATGATCTTAGGAAGAATATAGGTATTTCTATGTGCTTATTAACTATCTAGAAGACTATAGTAAGTTCCTAATATATCCACTTACAGTTGATGAATGGTCGCGGAACCTGAATGTGAATGATGCAGGTATCGGCTGCAGGGCTTCTCCTTTCTGCAAATTTGCGGTACTCTTCAGCCGTTTCAATTTCGGGGGTCCAGTATTGCGCATTAAAATCGAAATTGAAGTCTCCGCCGGGGTATGTGCTGAGTGGTCTTAGGTTGACTGTTCCATCACTCTCAATGATATCACCCGCTGGCCGTAATTTATCATATGCCTTGCCCTTGTATAAAGAAATGTGATCGGCGAGGATATTGGCATCAGGCTGAACCATCACATATGGGTCTGGGAACTGGAAATCTTGGGGTGTCATGTTGATCGTTGCGGTCACGGGTTGCTGCTCAGATGGGTCTTGGTCTTCTCGGCTCGGCTCATGCCTGGGCCGCTTATGTTTCTTTTTATGAGCTATGCGCTTGTTTGCATGACTTTGTAGCAGTTGCTGTTGACGAAGAAGAGCGGCATAGTTGGTTTCAACGGTATCTTGTGCCCAGTAAGTGAGGGTCTGGGTACCGAAGATGTGTGAGAATCTCGGGTCCGTGATTGCTTCTTGAATTTGGCGAGTAAGACCAACATCAGCGAGCGCCTCCTGATGGCTCATGTTATCGTATTGTCGTCGGCTAAGAGAGGCGAGATGTGCAGTGACATATGCCATTAGGTCATCAGGATTTTGGCTTGGACTTGGGCGGCCGCAATATCGGTCATAGATCAGTCTGGCAACATCCGGTACAAACCCAATATACTCAAGCACCTCGACACTTTCTTCTGCCATTGGGATGTCGAAGGTTCGGATGACATTGGGCTGGAAACCATGGGTGGCAACAGACGCAGAAGACGACGACGAGGTGGATGAGCTTGACACAGATCTTGGTGCACTGAATACAGCGGAAACTTTTCTTTTACCACTAGCGTTTGCGGATGCATTCGGCTGAGGCTCGGGAAGGAGGATTGCAGCCTCTTCAAGGCATCGTATCTGTTGTAGTGTGAAAACACTAGGACCGGATGGGAGATCTGCATGATGTTCGGGAATGGCTTGGAGGGACATGGTGGGTAAGTTTGAAGAAGATAAATCGAATATAATGAGATTCAAAGAAGTGAGACTGAAACTTGGAATGAATTAAGAAGAACAAAGTAGTGAGACTGAAACTTGGAATGAATGAAGAAGAAGAAGAATAGGATGCAAGGTTCAATGTTATCCTTTAAATATAGAAATAAAGTTGCAGAAAATTCCTGCTTAGGCAGAGTAGGTAAAAAAACACATTGAGAAGACCAACTGGAAAAATTACTGAAAATACTGCCGGCCGACTAGTATTCTTGTTTTTTTGCTACATCTACAGGGGATAAATACCCTACTATTTCATAGATTATTCATCTCTCTCTCTCCTTCTAAGTTAGTGTATAATTAATTTCGACGATGCAACTTGGGTCGTAATTTGCACGAACATCAAATCAAAACAGTGTAATCCAACAGCATCGACCTGGCAAACATAGGAAATATAACAAGATAACTAGCGGGTGTCTTGTCAGTTCTAGAGACTTTTATCCAGGTCTGCAATATGAAGCCGGAACACTGAGGGGCAGCGAATAGAATACGGCCTTTTGGTTGTCTCGTCAAGTCTGAATAGGTCAACAAACCGGGATGCCACGTCTTCGCTTCAATAGATAAGCTCTTCTGATTTTCTCGATTACCATGACTCGATTGAAGGCTTTCAAGTCCTACGACAGGAAGAAGCATGGTCGGACAAGCTAGGGCCAGGGGGCAAAATGATGCCTATAAGTCAGAGTGAAATGACACAGACTGCAAACTGGTACGCGAGGCTCTCGATTATCGTGGCATAACGGATAATATGTAGTCACATTAGCCATAGGCCCCCTGCAAATTCTCGCGCTCCCACTGGTAAAATTGCGAGAGTCACTTATATCTTTCCATTTAGGCCTCGGCCATATATAACAAACTCAGAGCTTAGGATTATGCAGGAAACGGTCCTGTAACTCTCATCGAATAGGAGATCCTGAATATCGACCAGGTTGTCGGTTTTCTTTGTAGTATCAGACAATCTGCATAATAGTTAGGCTTTTGCTCTTGCTGAGGGGCTGAGAAGAGACAGACCCAGGATACTGAAGGCTGCTGAACTTATGAGCAGCCTTTATGAGACCTTGAGTAGAAATGCTTGAAACTTGGATATATTCACTCTAGGAGGGATCAGTGTTTCTTTTATATACTTTGACTCTTAGCGTTGGCACTCACGGCTCTCGCGAGTAGGTACCAGCACTTAAGCTCCTAGGATCTATATCATCTCACCAATCATATCGGGGTGGCACGAAATATCTGAGAGCTCCTAGGAAGTCCTATCAGACTTTAGCTAGAATAAGGTATTTTCTAATTGCTAGTTAGAATATGTTAGGCAAATAAGGGGCCGCAAATTTTGTTATAGGCGGCTAGATCATACAGTAGGTATGATCGATGGGTCTAGAATATTTTTGCGGATGTCCATCGCTAGGGCTGAAGTCGTATTCCTAGGAGCAAGCGGCAGGGAGCAAGAGCGATAGTCCGTTAAAAAATCAACCAAAAAAAATCAGAATAAAACACTGAACTGGATTTACAAACCATCCAACTAGGGTTTTCTGAGATATTCCTAGATATTGTAGAACCAAAAATGGAGGGTTGGGTATTTTCCGCAGCTATGTAGAGTTCGGCGAGGTTGAATAGTGGCATAGGCGCAGAATAGTAAAGCCAATAATGTGGCCCCACTGTGCATTTGCCTTCCAGGTGGAGGCGCAACAACCAGGATCGACCGCCAAATTGATGACACCAGCCTTTCGTTGAGGGGACAACGGTCAAGAGTGCCGGGTGAACGACTGCATTTGGATGGGGCTAGCGTGGTGCATTTTATTGAGGTGAGCTGCTGACTTAGCTGCTCCCTGTGCTTTGCTCCGGTGAGCAAGTCTTGAGCTTATGTAATAATCAGGTGGCGCTCAGTGAGCTAGTCAGTGCTCAGGCCAAGCTCAGTGAGTAAGACCAGGCTACTCAGTGAGCGAGTCATATAGCTTATGTAATGATCAGGTGATGCTCATTTCTACTCAGTGAGCAAAAAGCGGCAAAGCCTGAGCACTAAAACGGAAAGCGATAGCCAAGAAGTGGCAGAGGAAATCAAGTACGTAGGTACCTATGTACATACAATCTTATGCGTATATGAAGGCACTGAATAAAAAAATACTAATTGGTTTCATTAAGTAGTCACAGGAGACATGCCTTGAGCGTAAAAGAAAACTATGTACAAAAATGCAATGCTGGCTGTGCAACCTAAAGAAAATGACTCATGTGGACATATGTACCCTCCTGTTTCCGTTCCAGGAAAAAAAAAAAAATTTACTCAACCGAGGGCAAGTCGGCCGAGAGAGGCAACTTGCGGGATGAGTTGCCGACATACACCTTCTTTTGGGCGTCGGAGATGACCCAGTTCTGGGAAGCAACGTCCCAGTTGGAGACATCACGGCGGTTCAGGGTGGTGGTCCACTGGAGGGTCTGTCCAGGGGCAATGGTGACTCGGTCAAACTGGCGGAGGACCTTTGAGGGGTCATCATCCCCGCCGAGGGAGACGTACAACTGGGGAACCTCGTCACCAGTCACGGAACCGGTGTTTGTGATAGTAGCGGTCACCTGGTAGAGGTCTTCAAACAGAGCCGGGTTACCTCCGGAGCTGCCGCTAGAGGGGAGAAGGTCCTGGGGGGAACCATCGGTAGCACCCTCAGGGAGGTAGTCCTTAGAGTCCATGCCGTAGTCAGGATCACCGGACGAGGCACGCAGGTCGGTGGAGTTCAACCACGGGTAAAGGTACTGGCGGACACGCTTAATTCCCTCAGGGAACAGGTTATCCGAGACTTTGCCAGGTTCGCCGAGAACGGGGGCCTTTTGGCTCTTTCCAGTGGTCGGCTTGTATTCGCGACGCGCGGATGAGGTAAGAGGGGTGACCTTAAGGTCGGAGAAGACAAACTTGGTGTAGCTCAGACCGTAACCGAACTCGTAAATAGGCTCAATGTTGTCCTTGTCGAAACGGCGGTAGTCAATGAAGACACCATCCTCGAAGTTATCTTGAGGAGCATCCGCGCCATTGTTGGGCACTGTGAGGATGGCCGGGCCATAATCCTTGCGAGTCTTACCCCAAGTAAATGGAGTCTTACCACCAGGGTTGATGCGACCATACAGTATGTCCACCAAGCTGCGACCACTCTCTTGGCCGGGCAAGCCAGCCCAGACAATGGCGGTAATGTTGTCGTTGTCATACCAGTCGCTAATCAGAACCGCAGCTGTGCTGTGGATCACGACGATAGTGTTGTTGCAGTATTGACTAGCAGTCTTGATCACCTCTTCGCCGTTCTTCCACAGAGTCAGGTTCTTACGGTCACCCTCATTACCGTCAACGTTGATGAATCCCTCGCCAGAGTCGGCGTTCACGAAAACTAGGGCAACATCAGCCTGGGAGGCAAGGGCGGCCATCTCGGTGAGGGCCCAGTTGTCAGTAACAGCAAAGACGTTGGTCTGCCCGTTGCCGTATTCCAGGACTTCATTTTGGATGGCTTGCTCGGGTGTAATCAGGTAAGGGAAGTTCGCAGTTCCACTGCCCCAGCCCATAGCCAAAGTTCCGTTATCACAGCCACGATCAGCGCAGCCATTGGCGCCATAAGCATTAGACCCGGCATCCTCTCCCAGAATGCCGATGAACCTCTCGCGGTGGGTAAGGGGCAGTGCACCACCCTTGTTCTTGAGGAGAACAGTACTATCAGATCCAATCTTGCGAATAATCTGAGCGTGGTCACGCTGGACATTCACACGCTCGTTGACCTTGCCCCAATCCTCACTCACCATGAAGTGCTTGAAGTTGTACTCGTCACGGGTCCAGGAGCTGAAGTTAGGAGGAGTACGGAAGCGGTCACGTCCAACCTTGTAGTAAGCGGACATGATTCGGACAGCCATATCGTCGAGGCGCCATTCGGGGACGGTACCGTTCAGAACCGAGATGGTCAGGTTGGTTCCCCAGTAGGAGTACGGGCTGCCAAGAAGGACGTCACCGGGCATAGACATATCCAGGCCAGCTAGAGCAGATTCGACACCGCTGTGGTGCGCACCCCAGTCACTCATCACAAAACCCTGGAAGCCTAGCTCGCCCTTGAGCAGTTTATTGAGGGAGTAGCTGTTTGCGCAGCCGTAGCTGTTATTGATCTGGTTGTAGGAACACATGACAGAGCCAACACCAGCACGGATGGAATCCACGAAGGGCCAGAGGTACAATTCGTGCATGGTCTTGTCATCAATGTTTGAGCTCACACTCTGGGAGATGTTGTACCCATATCCCTGGGCCTCGCCGGACTGACGGAAGTGCTCCTGTTCATTTCCAATGAAATGCTTCGCACAAGCAATGACACCAGCATCCTGCATACCCTTGATGGTTTCGGCCATCATTACACCAGTCAAAACGGGGTCAGGCGAGAAGCCTTCCCAGTTACGACCGCCATCGGGGTACTTGCCAAGAGGGCCAGCAACAGGACCCAATTGCACATCCACACCTTTGTCGCGGTGCTCCTCGCCCATTGCCACACCACGCTGGTAGGCAAGTCGCTTGTCCCATGCTGCAGCAACATTGATACCCGAGGGGAAACCAGAGTTGTAATCACCTGTTTGGGCACCATTAGTTAACCGTGTCAGGCTTATTCGGGTTGGGAAATCTTACTGAAGCGCACACCCAATGGTGAGTCCTGCATACACATTCCCCACATGCCAAGTCTAGGAATGCCACCGGTCTCACCAACACATCGATCTTGCTCCCAACCAGTACCAGTTGTCAAGTTGACTTTCTCAGCCAGTGTCAAATTAGAGACGAACTCGACGGCGCGTGTGTATGCTTCGGACCACTCGCCTGCGCCAGTCATCCATGGGGAGGGATAGTGTGGAGGAGAATGGGCCAGCGACTATTTTGACGCGAGTTGATTAGCAGTGATCTTACCAAAGGATTTAAATTGGACTCACATTCGCATTAGCCACCGAGGCCGTCAAAGCGGCCACCTCAAGCCACGCGAACTTCATTGCTGTGAAAGTGCTAGAGATGATTTCACAGAGACAGCACAAGAGAAGTTGAAAGAAAAGGGCGTGAGGAAGGAACGAGTCACAGATTTGGGAGGGAAAGGCTGGGATTTTAAATATTCCCAGGTTCGGTTTCCTGATTGCTCACAGGGGATGTAATAGTATGCATAGCGTATAAGATTTACTCCATAAAAAAAATCAATAATAAAAAAGAAATGAAGAGAATGAAGAAAAGGATCGACAAAAGTATGCATTCTCCCACTAATTACATCATATCGTGTCCTATTATTGGCCGTGGCTTATTCCTACTGGAGCTGTTGTTTACTTAAGTTGGAGACACCAGTCATCCTTGAAAGGAGACACAAGGCACAATTGTGGCTGGTAGAGGGGGACAAGGAGAAGCGCAGGGTTGAGAAGTCAACCCCCTTTCCCAACCATGTCAGACACCTGAGCATTACCCAGCCACGCTCTCTTAAACCATCGCAATGTAGTACATTTCAGGGTGATTAATTATCAATTCCCCTGGAATCCATCGCCTTGCTTCGATTCCACATACGAGAATGGCTAAACTTCGGCATCCCACGCCGTGGCTACCGTACCATCGCGCTCGTGCCCTTTCCCCGCTAATTCTAATTTCCGTGGGGTTAAACAGTCGATCTTTGGGAATTTCACCCGGAGTTTAGCTTCTTGCATGTGTTGTGGTGGTATACGAAGTCCAACTACATACATATTGGCGTTGGCTATCCCAATCATTCTGTGGCAAATGCTTTCACCTGATCACTCTCGCCTGATCAAATAAATATACAGAGATGACTTCCAAGATTTTAACCTGATCTGACCACTTTCGTCCAACAGATCACCGCTCATCCTGCCGAATGGGGAAACCCCTTCTCATTACCTCCGAGAGTGTGGGGAAACAGGCCCGGACCATCCGGGGCTGTTTCTCGCAATCCTAGTACAAAGTGTTCCATGCATATAAATTTACTTCAGAATAAAATTTGCTTTGCTCTTAACGTACATAGTTACTCTACCTAGGTACCAATATACATTCGAACCATGGGCGTCATCCGCAGCTAAGCGTTTTCGCTACCGGTCAAAGTGCGGAAGCCCCACACTCCAGGCTCAGGGACTCCAGGACTCCAGTAGGCAGTTTTCTGGCTTGTTGTCATATCATGACCCCGATGAAGCTTCTTGGCCAAGTCGGGGCATTCTCGGCCCAGTATACCCAGTATACCCAGTATTATTTTCGGGTTTGGTGTCCAATAATAATGGCTGCCTAATGAAACTTTCAACGCTATAGTGCGTACTCCGTACTGCATACTCCCTCCACCGAAATGTCCCGCCCCCGCCCCAACCCACTATCGGACCAAACCCCGTATCCGCGGGTCCTCAGCTCAGGCCGCACTGTCAGAGCTAATTCCTGTCGGAATGCCCCGCCAAGCAGCCATACTTTCCCCTTTGGTGGCTAATCATCGGTGTTACGGCTTAAATTGCTAGGTTTCAAGGCTTCTGTCGGTTGATTCGGCATTCCGAGTGCTCGTATGGGTGCCATTCAGTTTCCGGATAGTAGTGATATGGGCTTGTCCTTTTAAGTTAATTCAATTTTAGTTGGGTGGTTCTCATGAATTGTGCAGCTCTTTTGTCTGGGATGCTACATCGGAAATTATGATATACATTTACGTCATTAACATAGCTAATGCCATAGCTGTAGCTGTAGGCTATGCTCCAGCTCGCAAAACGTTGGCCTCATTCCTAATCTCGCATTTAGAACTGCAGAGTCGGGGTGTTGTTGCATTTCACCCGTCCGGGCATGAGGTCTGGCCGGAAAAAGATCCTGCACGGGCTTATTGGTGTTGAGTGGTCCCGCACCTTGCGTGGGATGTTTGGGATGTTTAGGCGTAAAATCATCCCATTCGGGGTCTAGGGCCGAGGAGCCGGGCTGCGGGTTCTAGTAGTCGGTGGCATCTTGACCGTACTCGATCTGCAAATGACAAGATGACAGAGTCGAAAGCGATTTTTTAGTCCCCATGCTCATCCTCTTGTTCAAAGTCGGGGACAGCTAGACTAGCAGGTTCACTCAAATGTTAACACCCCAATGTCAATGTCAAACATCACTGCTGATATCGTCTAGCACTTGAAACAGAATGTGATTTTGAACTCTGCAGCCTGTGCCATTCGCACCTGCTCGGAACCCAGACCAAATTTTCCGACGAATCTCATCCACATCAATTCCTTTGGTGTTGTATTGGTTGATCATTTCTTCTGCAATGGCACACAGCGTCGAATTGAGCACATCTTCATCAGATACCATTTCCGGATCATATCTATCAGATCGGCATCCACACAAAGCCGGGTCTTCTTCTTGTTGGGTTTGCTTTGACGGCGGATCTGTTGGTTGCACCACTGTCGAGGCACATGTACTATTGACCGCCATTGGTAGATCGGTTGTCTCTGATTCTTTTTTGTAGACGCGAGGTACTGCCATCGACAAGTTTGATCTGCGAGTATCCCAGCGTGGTTGAGACAGAGCATTTTCTCCCTCTACTCGCTGAATGGCAGGGATAGCAACCTTCCGGTTGGTGTTTGCTCCCGTATCCGCTTCCTGCAGATACTGCTGGACAGAAGCACTCGAGACTCCCAGTGATCCCAGAAGGGCTTTCAAATGCCGATTTTCGGCTTCAACCTTTGCGTTGCCAGTCGGTGCTCGATGTCCTTTTGGTGGGCTTGTTCTTTACACACCGCTAGGCGCTGCTCTAACTCATTCACGTACTCCTGTTTCCGAGCTCGACTCTTGCGTTGGTTCTCACGCACACGTGCAAGTCGCTCCACATTCTTCTATGCTAGTCAGGTTTCATGTATTGGCCGCAACTACTTAAATAGATATTACTGACCTTCTGGTCTTTCGTTGAATCCATCGGTAGCTGACCCAGGGGTGTGGAACATGACTGAGTTAATATCAGTCAAAATTGCCGTGCAAAGCACTTATTGGAATGGTGATATGGCAGGTGTCGTGGCAGAGAGTTTGACATTGCCACCTTGGAATTTCGAGTTCGGAGAAATGATGCCTCGCATTTTTGCCAGGTTTTTAAGGCTGTTGTTTAATCACGTGGTTTTTACTTTAAACCGGGAAAATAGGTAGAACTATTTGTTTTCTTCATGGAGAAATCACAATATTTGAATACATATTAGATTTCCCTATGGTTCTAATGGTATTTATAAAGATATTTTGTTCAAGATGTTGTACTGTTGAATGCGTCAAGCTATGATTTTTGCTCTACATTTCTGCCCATCCCCGTCCACAGGTCCGCTTCAACTTACGATGAGACGATTCTCTTACGGCCCTCGGTGCGGTGCTACAGTTGGATCACTCGCCCATATCGAAATTACAGAATATAATAGGTTGGCCACGTTGTTATCCATTTTAGCACGAATCTGCTCAAGCCACCTACACCGGGTCTATGCGTACGAATCCAGGGCATAATGTTTGTGAAACCAGGGAAAGGGGGTTTGTTCGCGCCCTCTCCGAGGATTTACGAGCCCCCACAAGTCTTGAAAATCTACTCTCGCATGAATCATTCAAATATTTTGAAACTGATGAGGCCTATTGTCACGGCATATGCTACAAACAAACCAGTTCTCATATTGAGAAGCAACTGCAATAAACGCAAGGCAGATTTCGAACTTACCATCCAAGAAAACATCCAAGAACACGGTGGGAATATAGCTCTACTCATCACCAGATGGATCAACTTGGGTTCTGGATTAACCCCGGGTGACCTCCGATGGAAGACTCATGCATACCATGGGCTATTCAAGGAGCCTGATACTCTGGTATAACTTTGTGAAGATAGGTCTCCTTTGAACCCGCTTCTAGCGGTAGTTCACTAGGAGACCTATCTTCACGCAATATTTACTATCTAAAAGATGAAAGATACAAAACAATCGATGGTAGGATTCCCTTGTTTGAAAAATCTTACCTGGACCCTCCCTAACCAAGCGAGAGGCGAATGTGGAATCCCAACCGGTGCTGTGTGAATTGAGTAGCAAAGTCAAATGGTGGCAGGCCTTCAATTTGATGCCTTCTCGATTTCAAATTACAGATATTTTCAGGATACACTGGCAGACCATGATAGATATGACGAGTTAGGGAGGAAAAGCAGAAAGAACGAAAGTGACGTATCCATTGGGTTAGATACATAGCTAGATATATGTAGGTAGCTTCGAGCATGTTACCTACACTCTACGTATCTCAAAGCTAAACATTGCCATTTAAGAGGCACACATGTAACTACGGGATATTCATAAGTACGGACATTTGTATAAGTGTGTAGCAGTTTAATCAAATCTATATCACGGACTGAGTAACAGGCAAATAGTATACTATGTAGAGATCGGTCACTAACTAGAGCCCTATACAGGAGAATTCAAAGAATTTACAAACAGGCAGATTTCCAACTCAGTTCTATACGAAAGCGAGAGCGGGAGGTAGATAACCATCGGATGCAGATCGCAAACGATCACCCTCGACGTCATTGGCCGTCAGTCGCGCCTGAGCTGCTATGTAGCCCCCGACATTCTTCCTCTGCGCCTAACTAGTTTCTACCTAGTATTTTCCCCTGTCACATTAAATATCATTAAAATTGCATTCAACTCTCATTGCTGTATTGTAAACCCTTCCATCATGGTCTCCACGCGACACCATCCCCACGAATTTCCTTCCCCCGAGGCCGGGAAAGAGGTGGCCAAATCACCACCAGCTACCACCAGCGCGAATTCACGCAAATGGACCCATACACCCGCCGCTGCGCTGACAATCTGGCTCATCATTTCGGTTCCCTTGGTTATTTGGGACACGGGCTATGTCTTGTTGCGACCGCATAGCATGCCTGGTGGAAGACTGCACTCTCCCATCTGGACACCTTATGCGCTGTACGGAAAGGTCGACTATATCTACGGCTGGCCCGCCTTCAATGCGCATAATGGCTTCACGGCTGCGCAGACTATCCTCAATATCTTCGAGACCATTGGTTACATCTACTACCTCTGGATTGTCTACCACTATGGATCGACTGTTGGGAGAGGTGGATCGCAGAAGATCTCCAAGGGACTCACCTGGTTGCTGAAGGGGGACAAGGTGGTTGCTGGGCGCATTGGTGCCACCGCGCTTCTGGTCGCCTACACCGCGTCTGTCATGACTCTGAGCAAGACTGTCCTTTACTGTAAGCTGCTTCCATTGCCTGGTATTTGTATGCTAGATTATAACACAAGACATAGGGCTCAACGAGGTCTTCTCCGGCTTCGAGAACATTGGTCACAACGAACCGCTCACTCTCTTCCTCTACTGGATCCTCCCCAAGTGAGCCCATCTAGTGCATGTTTACACAAAACTTAAAAACTAATTCTACATAGTGGGATGTGGCTCGTGTTTCCCAGCTACAATATCTATATTCTCGGAGGCGAGATTTTGAACTCGCTTGAGCTTGCAACACCACGCCAGAAGGTCGGACGCCCGAAATCCACGTAGGATCAGTCGCGCAAACTAGCGAATAGCTTGCGTACAGAAATGCGACATACGCAATGATAGTGAGTTTATTTGAGAGAAAAAAATCGGGTCACTTCGGCCTATCTATCGATAAGTGGCATTGAGATATGGCTAGTATGAGAAAAAGAGACAAGGTCCTGCTTCTGTAGTGAACTCGAGATGGTCAATGAATATCTTATTATGTTTACTAACCAGTAAGGATCCCCTTGGCACGTATCTGTATGCTCGTCCTAGTCTCCTGTCAAGCTTCCGGTGTACCAGCCCAGATGCCAATCCGGCTGTGCTACTGTCCTATGTATTGGGTCCGCTCCGAGAGAGCCGAACATCCTACGAGTATATCTACGAAGGTAGTTGGGATCTTGAGCCACTTGTGATATTTATGGCTTGAGGGAAGTTGGATTACAAATATATTCCTAATCCTAGAACTACCTATACTGGAATACTATAGGGGTTCAAGGGGAATATAGCGTTGGGACCTCCGGATTCAACATGTAACCTCAAGTCTATTGCGTAGGTATTTTTCTCTGTTTCAAGTTTTTTTTCTTACCTACAGCATATGCTAGTTGTTCATACTCCAATAGAGATTGTGGTCGAGTTTCCGTAATATTGGCGCTGCCAGTGGTCGAATTATTTGCCAAGCCACCATTACCATTCGCCGCTGAACCTTTCCCCATATTTTAGGTCCTTTGTCAAGTACTATGCATTTATGCATGCTGAAATTACCAGGTCTTTACAAACCGGGAAATCAATGGACCGTCATGATAACGGTACCATACAAAAATACATACATTGCTTAATCAGCTATGTCCGCCGAGATTGGAAAAGAGCGGATCTTGTCATTTTAGTTAGTTAGAGAATTTACATATGTCAGATTTACCATACATTGTCGTATCCGTCTATTTCTGTCAGTTATGAGCCCGGCTTCGTTCCAATTAAGATCTGTCTACAACATATAGACCATCTTTTACCTAGCTGTCGCCGATTCACAGTGGTTTTGACAACGGTCAACCCCTGAATCGTCGAAGCACCCCTATCTCCTTCGAAGAAGATCAGATTCATCGACGAAAATCGACAATAATGAATATCATGTCAAGCCTCTCCGCGGCCTCCTCCCGCGTCATTTTGAAGGATACAGAATCATGGGATGCATGGCTCTCATATATTAAAGCAATTGCAGTTGCATATAAAGTATGGGATCAATGCAATCCGTCTCTTAAGGAGGAAGAACGTCCTAAATTGGAACCACCTGAAGAGATCATCTCTGTCAAAGATGCCATAAAAGAATACCCAGAACACTGGTTCAATGTGAGGCTATCCCTAAAAGCAGATTGGGATGCAGAGAACAGAGCCTATCAGTCGAAACTACAGGCATTAGATCTAGTGGCGGTGGCAATTAGGCAGTCAGTTGATACTCCCTACCAGCCCTTTATCATTGATATACCATCACCTTTGGAGCTGATGCTCAATCTCCACAAACGATTTGCACCAGAGAGCGATCCTACATACAAAACTAAGCTCCGTCAACAGTGGCGGAACCTAGATAGAGGCCTAGATCGGAACACCGATATCGAGAAATGGCTTCTAAACTGGGAATCGCTTTACCAATCGTGTAAGAAGGCAAGGATGCCAGAAGCAGAGGATGCCACGAATCAATTCCTTGAAGCAATCTCTATAATGTCGCCTGGATTCTATGAAACATGGGCTCTCAGAGTACAGGATAATCAGGACATCCCTTTCTTCGAAATCATGACTCGGTACAAAGCCCACTGGAAGATTACCCATGGCAGGCCGGCTGCGCAAAGAGGCATCTCAAAGGCTGCTTTCTCGACATGGCAAGGCAATGAAGAAGCAAAGCCTATAGAGGCAAGGAATGATGGCCTAGAAAGAAGGCCATGTCCATGTGGCAGGGTAAAATCGAGAGTTCATATGCCTTGGGCCTGCTGGGAAATCTATGAAGATAGAAGGCCTGCTAATTACCAGCCCTCACCGGCATTGAAACAGAAGTGGGAGAAGGCCATGAAGGCTAATCCTAGATGGAAGGCAATTGTCGACAAGAAGCGAGCTGCATATGCAGAAGGCCAAGGGGGACCCTTGCTAAAGAGCAAGCGAATACAACCCTCGACGATGAAGCCTTTGGCTTCTTGACAACCAACGCAGTCAAAATTGACACCGTTATGTCAACAAAAATCAAGGATTTTGAAGCCACAACTACACCTACAGAAGACAGATGGGTAGTTGATACAGGTGCTCAAATCCACGTATGCAACAATCGGAGCTTGTTTAGCACCTTTGAAAGCGTACAGAGCAACGTCAAAGTGGGAGATACAGAGACGAAGGTGGCCGGTATAGGCACTGTGGTCATCTATGGTGTAAACCCTACCACTGGAAGCGCCGTTAAGATGAACCTATTTCAAACTAGGTACTCGCCAAACTTCCATAGTAATCTGATATCTCATGGATTGATGATGAAGGGGGGCCTATTAATGAATCTCAGAGCAAACTGCATTGAGACAATTGATGGCCATCGTCAGATCTATAAGATCTACCACGATCAGAAGCTATCATGGCTCACCCAGACAAGGGGTTTTATAACCCAAAAGGCATCAGATTTGAAGCCTGAAATGACGTTTGCCACTAAGAAATCCAATCAGGAGCCAAAATCTGAGGCTTCAATTGAGCTCTGGCATCGTCGATTAGGCCACATTGGCAAGGCGCGAATTGTCAAACTGGCAGAGATGACTGAAGGAATCACTATTGCAAGCAACCCAGGCAAAGAAATGCAGGTATGTGAAGCTTGTCAATTGGCAGATGCACCTAGGCAAATCTCTCGCCGGAAGATAGGCCAGGCATATGGTATATTAGGGAGAGTACACTTCGATCTAGTACAAAACCAGCCTGCCTACAACGGTCATATATGGATGACGCACTTCTATCTCGATGGAATAAGGTGTCACTTCGTATTTACCCATATAAAGAAGAGCGAGTGTCAGATGGCAGTTCGTAAATTCTTAGCATTGATCCGAAACTGGTTGAAAATCGAGATCAGGGTATTTCATTATGATAATGAGAGAAGCGCCGGCAATGAGGTTGAATCTATGATTGAAGACGAAGGGTGTACCATTGAGCATGCACCACCTGGCTTGCCAGAGATGAATGGACCAGCAGAGAGATCTGGAGGCATGATAGTAAGGAACGGCAGAGCATTGCTCAATGGTACGAACCTACCCCACAATCTATGGCCAGAGACGATGTATGCATCTGCATATATGATGAATCGTACCCCTACAAAGATGGATGGTAAGTGGATCATACCATGGAAGGAATTGATGCGCTATGCGGCTCCAGATGGCTTAAAAGATCAAATTGTCAACCTGTCGAATATGAGGCTATATGGGTGCTTAACGTACTCAAGGCTTCTGAAGAGAGTACAATCTAACAAGATGGCTCCGAGAGCAGAGATCGGCTATCTTGTAGGCTATGTTTCAAAGAGCCTATACAAGATCTGGTTTCCATACAAAGGGCGAGCAGGCATAGGCAGAGTTGAAGTTGTAAGAGATGCTGTATTCGATGAATCGAGACAGTACTCTAAAACGAAGCCTTTACCGCAAGAAGAAGATGCAATTAGTACTATGACAAATGGACTAAGCGCTAAGAACTGGCCCCAAGTGCTCTCAATGGAAGAAGCGCAGTCAGAATTGAGCATAGAGATGCGTATGCCGATGTCAATTGCTCGCATAACTCTCAATGATGACGTCGAAAACCGAGAACAAGGTACTGCACCAGAGGCGGTAAATGAAGAAATCCAGGAATCTAGAGTTGTGGAGCAAGCTCAAACTCTAGATAGTAGGGAGGAGACACCAAGGGTCCCCCCTTTAAAGGAAACACCTGTTTTACCTTTAACACCGGCTTCAATGGCAGGCCCTGCTTCAGTGGTAGAACATATCTCAATGATAGAGGTAAGGGATCAAGAACAGATCCCTGGGAGCTTCCCTATGTCACCACAGAGAGCCTCACCACAAAGAGCACTATCGTCGATTGCTACGATTGAGAGTACGCCACATGAGAGATCTCCTACCTCGCTATCTTCGCCAGATCCGATCAATGTCATACAGTCGATCGAAGCTGAAGGGGGAGAGGGAGATCAATATGATGAAGATGAAGCAGAGATAGAGCGTCAATTGCAACAAGAGATGCAGTATACGCCTACTCCAGAGCCAGAAGATCGGCCTACTAGAGAGATCTCTGCGTCAATTGATGAATCTAACATCATCTCAGGCCCCAGAATACGGAAGCCAAAGGCAGATCCAGACTACACTGCATATCTATCGCTAGACGAGAAACAGCTAGCCGAGCCACCAAGCCTTCTATATGCCTTTACAACAGGTATTACGAAGAAGCTCAATATGCAAAACAGACTGCATAGAGATCAGATGCCTCCACCACCAGAGAACTGGAAGCAGCTAAAAATCCATCCCTTTGCCACGCAATTGAAGGCAGCTGCGGAGTTTGAAATTGAGACCTTAAAGGCTAAAGAGACCTTCTCTCAGGTTGCATTACCGAACAAAAAGAGCACCCAGATCTTGCCATTGAAGTGGGTATTTACATACAAATTTGATGCAGATGGTATGCTCGAGAAGTTCAAAGCAAGAATCTGCGTGAGAGGAGATCTACAGTGGATGTCAACTGAAGAAAAGAGAGCTGCTACACTAGCTGTCAAAACAGCGAGAGCAGTATTCGCACTAGTTGCCGCCTTTGATCTAGATATGATTCAGAGAGATGTGGTTACCGCATTCCTGAATTCAATGCTAGAAAGCGAGGTTTATACCAAGTGTCCACCAGGCTTCGAAGCACTAAATCAGTGCTGGCTCCTGCATAGAGCCCTCTACGGATTGCGCATGTCACCAAGGCTTTGGCAGCAAGAAGCTACAAAGGTGCTAGTAAAACTAGGCCTTACCCCAGTGGAAGAAGATCCATGCATCTTTACAACCAAAGGCATTATTGTCTTTTTCTACGTGGACGATATCATCATCGTCAATCACCCCAAACAGGCTAAAGAAGCCGCTTTACTAGATCAAAATCTAAAGAAGCAATGGGAGCTTCGAGAACTGGATGCAAGCTGGTTCTTGAATATACGTATTATACGTGATAGAGAGCAGAAGAAGCTCTGGTTATGCCAAGATAGCTACATCGAGAGCATGGCACACAAATACAATCTCGTCACAGAGAGAAAAATAGGGTCCCCACTGAGCATTGAGCCTCTAGTACCCTATGATGGGGTGGCATCACCGCAACAGATTCATGGTTTCCAGGCCAAGGTTGGATCTGCGCAGTATGCCACCACCATTACCCGGGTAGATGCTGCAAAAGCAACCTCCAAAGTGGCTGAATTCCTTACAAATCCAGGACCAAAGCATATAGATGCAGTCGATCGCATCATACAGTATCTCTATGAGACACGCTTTTGGGCCATTGAATACGGCATCAGAACACCAAACAAACAACCTAGAAATCGAGATACGACCCTGACGATGGCGGCGAAATCAGTTGAATTTGCAAGCGATGCGTCGTTCGGAGACCATAAAGATCGAAAGAGCTCCGAAGGGTATATCTGCAAGTTATATGGTGGCCCAATCGATTGGAAGGCCACTAAGCAGAAGACTGTCACCACATCGACTACCGAGGCCGAACTACTAGCTTTAGCAGAGGCAGGAAAAACCGTACAGTGGTGGCGACGAGTGCTTAATGCACTAGGCTTCGAACCAGATCACCCACTATCCATCATGTGTGACAACCAGCAAACTGTCGATTTATTGACGAAGGAAGGGGCCGCGATGCATACGAAGCTCCGGCATGTTGACATCAATCGATGCTGGATGAAGCAAGAAGTTAGCGCAGGTCGAGTATATGTGGACTGGGTACCAACTGCTGCGATGCCAGCAGATGGGCTCACCAAAGCTCTGACGAAGCAGAAGCAGGGACACTTCAGAGAGTTGGTTGGAATGAGGGACGTAGGTCACATGATTCGTCACATGACCTCTGAGAACAGAGGCTGTTTTGCGGAAACTGCATAAATCGACGATTTGAGCCGAGATCAGTGAGGAGACAGGTGAGGTAAGTTGGAATCACTTGCGAATCATTTGCGAAGCGGTTGCGAAGCAGCTGCGAAACAGTTGGAAGAAAGGCAGTCCTTGAGAGCTTTGAATAGCTTCAAGAACTGGGGGGGTGTGTCAAGTACTATGCATTTATGCATGCTGAAATTACCAGGTCTTTACAAACCGGGAAATCAATGGACCGTCATGATAACGGTACCATACAAAAATACATACATTGCTTAATCAGCTATGTCCGCCGAGATTGGAAAAGAGCGGATCTTGTCATTTTAGTTAGTTAGAGAATTTACATATGTCAGATTTACCATACATTGTCGTATCCGTCTATTTCTGTCATCCTTCAACTTCACTTTCTCCTCAATCCAGACATTCTCCCGCTTTCTCGGCCTCCAACCCCCCACCCAAAAAGGACCTACCCCGGAATCAAACACGCCCTCCATATCGGAAGCGCCTTCTTTTGTTCCCGACCGTGCCGAAGGATGCTTCGGGCCTGGCTCCTGGGGTATCCGCACCCGTCATGATCCAACCCGATTCCAACGAATCGCCATCGAAAACCCCTGGTGTCGGCTTTGACCTAGGCCAGGAGGAGGCGGCAGCAGCTCTTGAAGACTTTGATACTCAAAGCCATGCAAGTTCCCGTGACCCTGGTAGCATACAAACGGTCGACCCCGCGGTAGGCCCGGACAACGGCACGCTAGACCAACGAGACGACTCCGGCAACGGCCCGTCCAATTTTGAAAATATAAACGAGGACGATAAACCGGCTTGGAGCGAAATGAAGACCAAGGCTGGGAAGGAGCGGAAGCGCCTGCCACTAGCATGCATCGCATGCCGCCGCAAGAAAATCCGTTGCTCGGGCGAGAAGCCCGCCTGCAAACATTGCACGCGCTCGAGGATTCCTTGCGTGTATAAAGTTACTACACGGAAGGCGGCGCCGCGCACGGATTATATGGCTATGTTGGACAAGCGATTGAAGAGGATGGAAGATCGCGTAATCAAGACGATACCCAAGGAGGAGACGAGAGATATGCTCTCTATTGGAAGATCGGTTGTCAAGCCTTCCGCTTCGGTTCAGCCGTCTAAGGCACAAAAGAAACGAAACGCAGAGGAGGCATTTGCGGCAGAAATGGAAGAATGGACTCGTGGAAACGGCCGGCCACCACACGAGACGTTCCCAATAAACCGTGAAATCAAATCCACCGATGGGACTGGGCTTCTCACCGAAGGAGCCGAGTTTTTGCCCTCATTAGAGATTCAGGAGCATCTTGCGGAGGTGTTCTTTGATTGTGTCTATGGGCAGTCATATCTCCTATTACACAAACCCAGCTTTATGCGACGGCTTAAAGCAGGCACGATCCCCCTGTCTTGATTCTTGCTGTCTGTGCCGTATCTGCGCGATTCTCCACACACCCTCAGCTCAACTCGGATCCACCATTTTTACGTGGAGAAAACTGGGCTAATCCCGCTGCGGCCATCGCTCTGAGCCGGCATGATGAGCCTAACATTACCATTCTTACTGTTTTCTTGCTTCTTGGCCTTCATGAGTTTGGAACCTGTCATGGTGGGCGAAGTTGGTCTTTTGGGGGTCAAGCATTGCGGATGGCATACGCGTTACAGCTCCACCAGGAGCTTGACCAGGATCCGTTACTCAGTCAGAAGAACGGCAACAGCTCACAGCTGAGCTTCACTGATCGAGAAATTCGGCGCCGGACTATGTGGGCATGTTACTTGATGGATCGGTATAACTCTTCTGGAAGTCAACGGCCACCTATTGGGAATGAAAAGTTCCTACAAATCCAGCTTCCTATCAAGGAACCTCACTTCCAGATGGAAATACCTGGTCCAACAGAAGATCTTGACGGCGATATCATTAATCCTGTGCCTGAGGATTCAGGCCAATTATCTAATGCTAAAGAAAACATGGGTGTTTCCGCTTACATTATTCGCGCTATCGTCATTTGGGGGCGCATTGTCGACTACCTGAATCTGGGTGGGAAAAGAAAGGACGCACATCCACTTTGGCATCCAGAATCAGGGTACACGCAGCTTAAGCGGCAAATTGAGGAGTTCTCTGCGTCTCTTCCAGCACCTTTTACCTTCACCTACGAGAATCTTCAAATCCACGCAGCGGAGAAGATTGCAAATCAGTTCATTTTCCTCCACATCATCATACATCAAAATATGCTGTTTCTCAACCAGTTCGCCATTCCCTTGTCTCCGGGGGGGCGTCCACCAAGAGATATGCCCAAGTCCTTCCTCAGTAATGCAGGTCGGGCCGCGGTGGAAGCAGCGCATCACATTTCAGTGCTTTTTGATCGAGCTTCAGCCTATCCCCTCACTGTTCCTTTTGCTGGGTACTGCGCTTACTCGGCAAGTACAGTCCACATCTGGGGAATCTTCTCGAAGAACGTCCAGCTGGAGGCACGGTCGAAAGAGAACCTCCGGCATACGTACCGCTATCTCAATAAAATGAAAAAGTACTGGGGCATGTTCCACTATATGGTTGAAAGTGCCAAGGATCGGTATCGGCAATTTGCCGATGCAGCTATCAAGGGCTCTGTGGCAATTCAGAATGGCGCATCCCTAACACCCATGTTCCAATATGGTGACTGGTTCGACAAGTATCCGCATGGAGTGTCAAGAGTACATTGGGAGGACCCCGATACTCGAAACAAAGAAACGGGCGAAGACGCAGTCATGGGCCAAAAACCAGACCTCCAGAGCGTAGAAGATTTCTTTGCTGGCCTTTCGCCTACTCCACAGCCGAGTCAACCCCGTAAATCACGATCTCGCAAGAACAGCAAACTATCAGATGGAGCTCCGGGTATGGACCAGACTTCACCCCAGTCAATGATGGAAGTGACCATGGGAAACACCCCGGGTGTTCCAGGCAGTGCATTCCCACAACCATCCATGCTCCAACAATCCCGGCCAATGTCATTCGGCCAACCACCCTTCGACTTCGGCATCCCACCAGACCAATTGCCGCAACTAGACCGGCAATTCGTCTACGGTTCATTTTCTGACTTTGACCCCACCTCATTCGTCCCAAACAATCCTCCAATCCCACCGCTCAATGGCGTTGAAACACAAAGTCCAGATCAAACCTTGTTCACGGGCCATCTGGACCCGGGTGCCCCTGCTGGAATGGGCGAGTTCTACCAGCCCAGCGCGTGGTTCCTCCCCTTCAATCTTGACCCTGTTGGCGGTGGAAACTCACCACAAGCTCCGGCTCCCATACCTGGGAGCAATCGTGGTGGCACACCATCCGGGGACCCTTCTGTGCATATGTCTGGCTTTGGCGGCGCTGTGGGTATGCCTTTAAGCGCATATGATCTTGGTTTATCTGGTTCGGATATGAAAGTCTCACGGCCATGATCGGGTATTTTTTTCATCAGTTAATGCTTTCCCAACGACTGCCATGTGCTACGTGGTGTTTGAGTTTTCTTTGCGGTGATTACAAAAGCTTGGAGTCGGACATTTGGAGCTGGGGTTTGTTACTTTTTGCGCTACCGTATTATCCCCCCATTTGTGTTGATTTGTGTAAATATTATTATATCGTCTGCTACGTGTATATCCCTTTCTCTTTAAGCAGGTTTTCTGAAGAATATCTATATCTAATAGCTTGATTTCCTCGGGTAGACATCACAGTCTCGTAAAAGTTTCCAATGCCCTAACAAAAAAAATCGATTCTCCCAACGCCAAAATAAATTCAGCAGAAGAAGTTGCAAAAAAGAAATTGTTGTGCATCATCCGTGAATCGAACACGGGCCTCGTCGATGGCAACGACGAATTCTACCACTAGACCAATGATGCTAGTTGTATGGTTAGCAATGCGTTGTGGAGTATATATTCGCTTAGCAATCTATGAGCATGACCCACCTAGAAATAGGATCAACTAACTATGCTGTACAGTGTAAGTATGTGCAATTAAAGTTGGTAGGTATAATGTGACAGCTTATTTTATAATTTAGTCGTAACCCTAGTCGTGTGTGAGCTCGCTGTACGCCCACGCGAATGAATTGAGATAGGATATGATGTCAAATGTGGATATATATATCCTGGCGAGGTAGGTAAACGGCTACAGAATGTGTACGTGGATAACATGGAAAACATTTGCCATTTGCATTACGAACAATCAGACAAGCAAAAAGGTATCGTAGTTTATTCCTTGAATAATCCGAGAAATAAAAAGTTGTCACAGGACAAAAAGGAGTGTAGAGAAAGGGTATGGGAAACACAAGTCGTTATAAGACAAGGGAAACCAGAGAAAAGAAAGTAAAAGTAACCATCCACTAATCATCCCACTCTTCATCCAGTTGATCTATGAGCCTGTTCTCGGCATCCACGTCACGGCCCTGACCGCGTCCTCCCCGTCCCCCGATGGCGCCGATGAATCCACCACGGCCATTAGAGTCCGCACGGGTGTAGCCGTCGCCTGCGGGGGATCCCTTGCAACGGAAGAGGTTTCCTAGCGAGGAGAGGATAATCACGAACATGTCCTGTTGGTGTAGAAAGAAAGAAGTGGTCAGCGTCACGTTCCAGACAATGCGGCTCGCAACTGCAATCGATCATTTAAGTACATGCAATAGAACAAATTGTCCGTTTAATGAAACAAGAGAGGAGCAGTGACTATGGAAGGATCCCAAAGATGAAGTGACACGTCCATTGACAAGTACCCAAGGGACAGTTCACTTGCATAAATCAAGACATCTTGTCAAATATATGGAAATGTACACGCTGTGATCATCACAGGTGTCGGAAGGCCCAAAGAGCTCAATCAAAAGATATAATATGGCAAAAAAAAAAAAAAAAAAAAAAAAAAAGAACAATGATCTATGCCCGACAAGAGACAAGGAGATGAATGGAACAGGCAAACCGCGACCGTCTCTCTCGAAGCGATCGGTTTCTAGGCCAGCTAGAGAGAGTTCAATCCATCCTTGAAACAGGTAGTCCGGTCACATTTGAATCCCGAAACTTATGCGACACGAACTTGCCATATCTAAATTTGCGACGAGGCCAACATGGGATCAATAATAGGATACTTACTTTAACAAAGTCGAACACCCCAGCCCACAGGCTGAAGTTTGGGCACTGGCGCCAGCCACGTTGATGCATGACTGTTCGCTGGTAGGCGCAGCCACCAATCAGATAAACGGCGATGGCAATCACCATACTAGAGGACAGGGTTAGCATGGATTACATTGGGTGTTTTCCCAACAGGCAAAAATGTATGCTCACATAACACCGAATACGCCGCCCGGTCCCAAACCACCAGCGTTGGGATCCACGGCGATTCCACCACATGCCGCCGAGCTACGGACCTCGAAGAAGTACGAGCATTCATCCATGGAGCCGACGAAGGAAGCTGTAGCCACATTCGGCGCAGCGTCGCGGTCACAAAGGAAAGACATGACAGTCGACTTAGTGCGCGTAGAGGCATTGGAACTGCCCATGTTATAGTCGTCCGGACAAGGCGAGCCATTGGTATAATTGAGGACGAGTTTGCGGCCGCGGAAGAAAGGTTCAGATGCTTGTTGCCTGTATATGACCGAGAATCGTTAGCACAATAAGCAGGGCATGAATCCAACTAGTGCGACCGGTTGGGATGGAGACCTGACATACCCTATGGAGTATCTTTTATCATCCCGCTCGTAATATGCACTGACGTTCTTCCACCGCGACGACTCTATCCCAACCACATCGGTCACGTTCTCAATGACCGGCGCGCAGATGTTGATTGTGAAATTGGCCGGGTAGTCATGACCCCTGGCAAACCAGCTGGTGTTCCGCGCATCTTTCGAGAGTTTGCCGTCCTTCATTTCAGGTGGGGATAATGAGATCGCATTGAGATCAAAGTACAACCCGGTGGTTGGGGAGCGAGCGACACATGAAGCGTCATCTTCCAAGTGGGAGGAATATGATGCGCTAGATAATCCGAGAATCGAGGACAGAAGGAACATAGAGTAATGAGCGGAGCTGGTGAGCTTCATGGTGGGCTATGTTGGGGTCGACCCAAGGTAGTCTGGAAGTAGAAAGAAATGAAATGGAATAAGGAATGTGAAGAGACTAGGGAAAAGATACGTGTAAAATGATAGAAATGGCAATGTATGAATTGGTGTGAAGGAGGTAAAGTGTATAAGCGCCTGAGAGAGAGAGCCCTAGAGATAGAGAGACCTCGGGAGGCTTACGTAGCATCACTACCGCTGTGATTGGAGATGCGGAGCAAATCTGGCGGAACACCCACCATCCGACGTCGTACGCGACTTTTAAGGCTCCAGGCATTTATTTAAGGATCTCCCCCCACACTTTGGGTAGTTCCTGGATTATTTCCCTGTCTATCCATTGGTCATTACTTCAATATGTCCACCAAAAAGGATTCTAAAAAAATACCCGTGCAGCCAGTGCCAGAGAAACGCGGTTATGAGTTTTGTGGACCGTATGTCTTTCTTCCTTCAATTGAGCTAAGCTGAGCTGACATTTTCAATAGAATAGGTGCCTTCGGTATTGTATTTGGATTGCCAACCCTGATCTACCTCTTTACTTTCGTCTGCAACGATATCTCCGGTTGTCCTGCGCCGTCGCTGCTGAATCCCTCGACTTTGTCGCTCGACCAATTGAAGCGCGAAGTGGGTTGGCCAGAGGAAGGAGTCACGGCGCTTTATGATACCAATGTTACACTGTGGACACTGAGCTACTATGCCTTCAGCCTGTTCTTGCAAGTCTTCCTTCCCGGTCAGGAGGCAGACGGTGTTGTGTTGGCCTGCGGAGGACGACTGAAGTACAAATTCAATGGTATGGCAATGGCAGTCCTTTTTCGCATATCGCATTCAAACAGGTGGACGTTTTTTTTCTGACTAGTTTCATTTTATAGCATTCTCCTCTGCCATCATTATCCTCTCGGGCCTCGCTGGAGGCACTTATCTCTATGGAGCCGACTTTGTGGTGTGGACATTCCTATGGGACAACTACGTCCAGGTCATTACAGCAAACTTGTTGATCTCTTCTTCTGTCGCGCTGTTTGTCTATTTGAAGAGCTTCACAGTTCCAGACCCAGGGCAGGCAAACCCAAGCCTACGACAGCTGGCACCTGGCGGCCATACGGGCAATATGCTCTACGACTTCTTCATCGGTCGTGAACTCAACCCTCGTGTTCGCTTGCCAATTCCATTTGTTAGCGAGGCATCGCGCACCATTGATATCAAGGTGTTCATGGAGATGAGACCAGGCTTGCTTGGATGGACAATTCTGAACTTGTCCAACGTGGCCCACCAGTACCGAACTTATGGCTACATCACCGACTCGATTGTGCTGGTTACTATTTTCCAGGCGTTTTATATTCTGGATGCGCTGTACATGGAACCAGCAATCATGACCACCATGGATGTAATCATGGACGGATTTGGATTCATGTTGTCTTTCGGCGATGTGGCTTGGGTTCCTCATGTGTATAGCATTCAGACCCGGTATCTCTCTGTCTTCCCCTACGAGCTTGGCTTGAGCGGTATGGCCGTTGTTCTGGGTATCACAGCCGTTGGATATTCGATCTTCCGTGGCGCCAATAACCAGAAGAATCGCTTCCGCACGAATCCCAATGACCCCCGCGTGAAGAACATCAAGTACATCGAAACTGCCGCTGGATCCAAACTGATGACCTCTGGCTGGTGGGGTCTGGCGCGTCACATCAACTACCTGGGTGATTGGACAATGTCGTGGGCCTACTGCCTGCCCACTGGCGTTGCGGGATACGTCCTCATCGAGAGCATCAACCCAGCCAGTGGCGCTGTCCAGAAGCAAGCCGTGCAGACCCCAGAAATCCGTGGCTGGGGTATGATCTTCACATACTTTTACATGCTTTACTTTGGTGTCTTATTGATTCACCGTGAGATGCGTGATGAGGAGAAGTGCGAGAAGAAGTATGGCGCTGACTGGAAGCGTTATACCTCCATCGTTCGCAGCCGCATCATTCCTGGAATCTACTGAGAGATTTCCATTAAAAAACTTCTTTCATAGGTTGTTTCTCCCTTTGGATTTACTTCCATGCCTTATTATTGTACATTATTTTCATCCCTAATATTTCCCAAGGTTGACTTGTGAACCCCTTTATGATAGGCGCACTTTTTGGATTACAATCTTCCATAGTTGGCCATCGTTAAAATTTGTCGTCGCAGGAAAATTCGACAGAACAAGATAGCAAATGCAAAGTCTACTCTGCAAGTTCTTATCAGGAGACACTTCTAGTTATTGTTTTATTCTAGATTTGAAGTAACGCTAGAAGCTAAAGCGAGACCGATATACCAATTGGTAACTCGTTGTTCTTGAGCAGTTTCGGGTTGATGATATGGAGCTCCAATAGGTTCCCAAAGTCATCCTCTAGATCGCTAGCCATTCACCATTCAATGAGTACATTGAAACTGGTGCTCCAGAACCCACGGTGCCTCAAGCCCACCGACCGTCTCGATGTTTCCCTGCGCATCCATGATGATAGCGTTGGAGTTGCGCTAATAAGAGTGCGTATAGATCTCAAAGTCGGCGAATGCGAGGTCATAGCGCAGCGAACCAAACACAGGACTCATTGTCTGTCCAACACTCTGTTGGAACCGCCCCTGTATTCCAGTTCCATCGCCGACCCGACGTGGTTGTCCGGATGGGCTGTACTCCACGATGCTGATGTGACGGTGTTCGTCTTGCTCAAAGCCAATCCACTTACGCAGTGGGATGGTGTCCTTTGATGTCTTGCAGATCAGTAAATTCGTGCTTCCAGGGTTCGAACCTTCCCAAGGTGGGAAGGTTGACTTTACCTTGATGCCTAAGGCTACGTATATTGTGTGAGTGTCATCAAAGAAACATCCATGGATGCCCCTGCTGTGAGGACGTGAACAGTGCACAAGACCCCAGATGATTCTAAGTGATATATATAAACTAATTGAATAGATTATGTTGCTCGTTACAATTAATTTCGGGTTCCCAGGTTATTTCTTGCTGTTAATTCCACAACAGTAGTCAAGTAGAGGAGCTTACAAGGGCAATTCTTTATATAGTTGAGGTCAAAAGTGAATCATAAGGTTGAAATAAATTAAATAACTGAATAGATAGTCCCAGATATGCAATCTTCCGTCTTCAATCATCTTCAGAATCTTCGAAATCGTTACCTGCCTTCCTTATAGAATCAACCATGTGAGTTTTGAGCCCATTGACGAAGTGATCGAACTTTCTCTTGTAGTCAGCGCCAAAGCCCATAAGGAAGTCATCATACACACTCATATAAACGAAGACAGCAAAATGGTGACGGGTCAGTCGTTCTAGTCGCATATCCTGCCGTTGCGCTTTTGTTTTGTTAAAGACATAAAGAGTTGACAAGTAGTCCAAGTCCTGTGTCTCGCATGCGTCATAAATCCGAGGTCCGCTCAAAATCCGACATTCGTTGTCATGAATGTACTTGCCAAATGGAACAAGCACATCTCGGAATCCATATTGACAGCCTGTAGTATCGATAATCCATGTTTCATTGCTCTCGACTCGCTCTATCTTCAACACCGTGTGTGGACCGCCGTGTATGTCAGGACCAGGAACAAGCCTAGTTGGAACCCATGGTCTTCCGATATTGACGACTATGGTCTCGATTTTCAAAGGCACACCTAACTTTTTATTGGTCACAGCTCGCTTTGGTAAGTAGGGGTAGAAAGGCTTTTTACCTCCAAGTAGTTTTCTGGTCAAGGGACCCAAGAGCGCCGTGGCTGCTGTAGATTGACTTTTAACGAGAGCTGCTTCCTTGTGATCGATGTTGTCAGTCAGGTGATTAGGGAAAGGACCGCGCTTGGATTGAGACGAAACCGATCTTTGACTTTGATGGAGATAGAGGACACCGTCTCGATATTCGATCTTAGTTAGATCCACATCGTATACAGTCTCTCTGTATGCCAGCATGGCTGCCTTCAGTACCTGGGCAGCTCGGAGCAGTATCTTTCGTTGCTGCATGTTCTCACAATAGTCCTGGTGATTTGGCCAGTCTAGTGTCTGGCACTCGCGGCTACAGTAAAAAACAACTCGGGAATCACCGCTTTGGTATTCGGGTGCATGCGAGCAGCCCGAACATATTGTCTTAGTTTCCGTCCCGCATTTTGCGCATTCAACTGGAGGTTTCGGAGCCATATTGAAGATAAAGCTGGCGGCTGTAATAAACGCTATGTCGAATTCATCGATTGTTGCTTGTGGGGGTTGATATCCCGAGGTGTGAAGTCGTAGATTGATGAGGCTGGAGACTAGAAGGTATGGGGGAAGAAAGAGAGTTGTGAGAAAAGCAACAAGATCTAACAATCAAAAGCACCCGAGGAAAACCGAGAAACATCCCATTGTCGACATTCCGTTCGACTCATAGAAGCCTGCCTCGGTGCCTGGTTGACTAGGCAGTGGTTTGTTTGACAGCGATAAAGGGCTGATGCCAATTATGAACAGTAAGCCAGTCCCTTTGTTATTGATAGCAGGATATTTCTTAAACTAGCGCATGGCTCTTTTTGTTCAGATGCGAATTATCTTATATTCCAATGGAAATCTTGAAAGGAGGATATGACGGAGTTATTGTACATGACGCAGAGTGATCTTTCATCCTCTGGACACAATCAGCGCTTTCGCTTTTTGGGGTCAACCAAAACATCCAAGCCCCAAGATTCATCTCCTGAATTAGCCACCCATCCCTTGAGAACCAGTTTAGCATCCTTGATGGCCTGCATGCGGATTTGCAACGGGTCTTCCAAGCTGCTAGGGGTTTTGAAATCCTGGTAGGTAATTATATCTGGTATATGGTGCTGGGCTGTATTGACGTGTGGATCTTCAGCCTTTGGAGTACCCGACAGCAATCTAGTTGGGGAGATGTCGGTTTGATAGGTATGTGGAACTGAGGTAGGCGAAATTTCGCGAAGAAGAGCCCAAAGCTTAGCTCGGGATAGAGACGAGGCCCCGCGGGCACCCGGCGAGGATGCCCGGTTTCCTTGTTTCACTCCGTTGATAATAGTCTCATATACGCCGGTTTTAGAACGGCAAAGAGTTGGCATTGACTTGCTGCCAGTATCCATAGTCATTGCCGATGGGCGTTTATACGAGGGAGCCAATACCCAAACGGCGCTCACATTCCCTGGCCTGTTCTTTTTAACTTTTGCACCAGACGTCAAAGAGTCTCCTTCCTGCTCCAAAGAATTTGCAGGACAAGGCACGGGTTTTGGCTTCGCAAAGGGCCAAAGCGCTGCCACCTCTTCGCTAGGCACCGAAAGAACTTGGAATGGCCGGAATCGATACCCCGGTGTGTTTTCTTTAACTTTTGTCTCCCTAGGCCAATATCGCCCACCCAATGCCTGCATTCGGCCGTTCTCACCAAAGGAGCGGTCACAGCCAACTTGGCTGATTTCGTCCTCGGGAAGAATCAGACCTGCCAGATAGGCGTTTTCGGTAGGTGCAATGAGGTGGCTGGTCTCACAGGACAGCAAGGAGGAGACCTGCCGCAATGCAAGCTTGTCTGAACAGGACTTGCTGCGCGTGGATTCGGCATCCATGCGCGCTGGTTTTCGACGCACGACTCCGAGAAGAGAGAAATGGGCCCGCCCATCTAGAAGGGTCTCTGTACCTGGGACCTCTGCGTCTTGAGTTTTTGGAAAAGGACCTTCTTGCTGTAAGACTTCCCAGGGTGTCGCATCTTCTTGAGCTGCCATGCAGAGCTCCATGCTTGCGTCGCCGCAAGGAGCACATGTGCAATACATGTAAATCTTGATATCAGGCCGAATCTCAAAAGGCGGCCATTCTGTGGGTGGTGTAATAATACCATCTTCATCCCCTTCAGTCTTTCTCCTTTGTATGAATGGAGAATCCGGGACCTTCTCATTATCGGGGGTATCATGGCCATTCGGTAATTGCTTTTCCCGGGATAGAATACTGTTGCACTCTGTCAAAAGCCAATAATTAAATGCTCGGATGGCCAATATTTCAGCATGACAGTCATGTAGTACAAGGCCCCTGCAGCGTGGGATATGAGATGCCGACAAGCATTTAGCGCCACTCCTACATCAATATCAGCTTTTTTGCATATAGGTCGCTTGCATATGACTTGGTCAGACTTGCAAGTAGAAAATTCAAAACTTACGTGACAGATATGCAGGTTAGGCTTTCCAAAGGTGTGTTTTCTCCTATAAACGAACATACCCAAAAATGTTACTATTTGAATGAAAAAAGATGTGTGACAGCGAAGTAAAAAGCAAAGAATCGACCCATCTCCCTCACTGTACATACATGGACGAGGATGATAACTCGCTTATAAATATTAAGTTACAAACATACCTTTGACAGCCACAATACCGGTCATTGGAATCCATTCCCTCGATCCATCTGGAAATATGGTTGGTTTGCTGCGCGCTGGCAGAGCATCGAAATGTGCATGAACCAGCGATGCTATTCGGGACGATAATGATAAACCAGATGTATCAACAGACATTGGGTATTATAATAGTCCGAACGACAATTTCCTAAATCCCCAAATCCTTTATTAAAGGCAAAAGACAGGATGGAAGAATCTCAAGATAGCCATACGATCACGTGATAACATATACTTTGTGCCTAAGGCGTCGATATTCTCTTTCTTCTTTCGAGCTTCCCGCTATTCTTCTCAATCCAACACCAACGTCTCTACTATCCACCATGGCCGACAAGCTCCGCACCATCCAGAACCTCGAGGCCCTCCAGGCCCGTTACATCGGTACCGGACACGCCGATACAACCAAGTACGAGTGGACCTCCAACATCCTCCGTGACAGCTACTCCTCCTACGTCGGCCACCCTCCCCTGCTGTCCTACATGGCCGTCGGCATGGGCGAACCAAAAGAGAAGGTGCGCGCAATGATGTTGGAGAAAATGGTCAGAGGTGCTGGTAATCCGCCAGAGGTATGTGGTGTCTTGCAGAGTTGCTCAACATAATACAAGATGGGTTGACTAACATGTGCCCTCCAATGATCTAGACTCAAGAGTAAACTACTTAGTGTGGTTTATTTTTGTTTTTTTTTGATACCCCTTGTCACGTCCTTGGCTTTCCATACAGGAAAGCAGATCCTCCGACCCCCCGACCACCCCCTAGTCCAGCTCTGGAGCTCAGCAACTTTGCTGACATGACATAAATCCCTCTGTGTACGCATTTTGAAACTGCCAAAGATACATTTTCTCAGTTTCCCCTTCGATCACCTCAATATGGAATAGCAATTCCAACTCAACATACGAAACGCTCTATGGAACAAGGCCAATAGATCCCTCTCTCTGGGCTAGGGATTTCCCGCGTTTTGGCTTCCGGGACTTCAAGAATCCTTCAATTCTGTCAGTGAGGGGGGACAATTTGTGATACGCACGCCTACCACATGAAATTATGCCCCCAGCAGCAAGGTCTCATATACCCAACCTTGGAACTAGCATCGTAACGGATGTCCTGGTATTGCTTGTCGAGAATTCGGTTCCTCAGCTACACCCAATAATTGGGAGAAACCGCCCCAGAGCTGTATCTCACTTGATTGATCATGCTTAGAAATATCATAATCTAGTCATAATACTTAAAATATGAAGATATGAAATATTGAAATTCACTCCGTAGATAGATGTAGTAATAGATACAGGGCAAAGTATGTAGTTATAGAACCATTGGACAGATCAGACCCCGGTCCAAAGCTAAAAATAAACAAATAGAGGAAGACGCTAGAAAATAAGTCATGCAGTATAGTATGTACAAACTATGGAATTATGGTTTATCCACCGATTAAGCATCCTCCGACTTCGCCGCCAACCTTGTATTCTCCGCCTGCAACGAAGAAACAAGGTCGACCCATTTCTTGCGCTCAGAGCGAAGCTGCTTGACCTCCTTCTTGAGATCATGTACCTCTTGCTTCAAGTTATCAACCTCAGACTTGTTCTTGGACTTGTTCTTGGACTTGGACTTCTGCGAACGCTCATCATCCTTTCTCTGTTTCGCTTGAATCTTCGACATAATTTTTAGCTGGCTAGCCTCAATCTTGCGCAGCTGTTTAAGCAGCTTAGATTCTCCATGGAGAAATTGAGCGGCTGCTTTGGGGAGACGCGGTGGCGGGTCGGGGGTTTCCGTCCGCGTAGAAGATGGTTGGTCTTCATTACTGATCTCGTCCTGCGGGTGGCTCTGGCTCTGCTGTGTGCGAGTGCTGGCGGGCCTGGAAGACCTATTCGTCGCTGCGCGCTTGCGCATCCCGTTAGTGTCGCTGTCTACTTCACTGATGCCTTTCACTGGGGTCCCTGAGACACTAGGTGGTTGTGATGAGATCTGAAACTTGTCGAGCTCGGCGCGGACTTCGTCTAGCTTGTCTTCAACCTCGCGTTTGCGGATGGCCAGCTTTGCGAGCTCTTTCTCATGGGAAGTAAGCTTGCCATTCTTTGTCATTTCGGTCAGTTCCTCCGGTGACATGTTGTTGTGTGCTACCTCGTCAATGGTAGTTGCTTCTTGTGCGGAATTGGCTGAGGAGAGTGAAACATGGTCATGCTCACGGGATCTTGAAGATTCGGCGTCCAACGTTGTTTTATTTTGTTGGACACTATTTGGGCTTAAGTGTGCCATGCCATCTGCATCAATGTAGGAAACCTCGTCCCCGGCCGGGATATCACCCGATACTTTGGTGTGGGCGCCGTAGCCTAGAACTTGTGGTGCGAACCGTTCCAGTCCACTACTGAGCAAGCTGGTAACACTGGCAATTAGACCATGATGCGAATGTTCGCCATCGCTGTTGAGTGATTCGTAATCAGAATCCGAGTCGTCTTCTTGGTCGGAGTCGTATTCATTTGGAGACTCCCCGTCCGATTGAGCCTTGGCGCCTGCTGAAGTATTTGCACCTTCCGTACCCGTGCTTTCTTCTTGCTTGGGCGGCTTGTCATCTTGAAGAGCCCAGTTAATGAATTTAGCCGCGTCCGTTCCCACGCTTCGTGGTGTTCCCTTGTCCACCATCCATCGCGGAATGTTGCCACCCGGGTCACTCCTAGTGACCATGATCCATTCAACAGGGTTCATTTCTTCATCTCCCTCATCCCCAGCTCCATCCTGCCCAGGTAGCCCTCCAGGCTGTTGCAGATTGAAGGATGAAGAATCACTATTCTTCTTACTCCCCTGGCTAGGGGAGCTGCTCCCACTGCCATTCTTCTTAGGAATCTCCCGAATGAGCTCGATAGACTCATACTGTCCGCGAGTATACCCCTGCTTATGCTGGATATCGGGGTGTTCACACGGCTTAGAGATCATGATCCAGCTGCGACCAGGCTGTTTAGTTCCGCCAGCTTGCAACCCAGAATCGGAATTGATTATCAGCGCCACAAAGTCGCGTGGAGCAGTAGGTTTGGGAAACTGCGCCGAGACATGGTAAACCATTAAATCTCCCAGAACCGAACCATCATGGTCCTTGATCTCAATGTTCTCGATCTTTTCTTCGGCACCGATCCCACGGATGCACCTGTCAGGCGTCTGTCCCTTCTCAATCTTCTTGCGATTTACTTTGAGCGTTTCGTCGTACTCAGTTGAGAGCTTCTTCCGCCACCGCGAGAATGGGAGACCCTCATGCACACTCCGTCGCCCGAACCATGAGCCCCCACCGTCATTTGCGGAAAGTTTCCACACTGTCACGTCCAATGGATTGTCCCTTGCTCCGCCCATCTTGAGTGGCTTCCCCCATTCCTTTTGCAGGTCTGTAATCTCTGGGTCGGTTTCTCCCACTCGTGCGGACGATGGGACGATTCGTCGGGCGGAATTTTTCGTGTCGTCTAACCCGGGGTAGTTATCGTTGTCGGATATTGGGGGGTCTGGAAGTGATTCCGCTACCAGGCGGCTATTTTTGAAGATCTCGCGCACGTAGTCACGGAGCTCGTCAGGATTCCGGGGAACTTCGTCCCATAACGTTGGTTTGAGGCATTGGAGGGCCTCGTGTAAGGTAGCCATAAGTGCGGTAAGAGGCCTTCTATATTTTCAAGTCCTAGTCTTCTGCGATTTTGTAAATTCCAAGTTGTGTCGGTAGTGCAGTGACGTTGTTTCGAGTAGCGGGGGGTTATGTCAGCTCGTGGTGTGCTGGAATTAGTACACGGAGGTGGGATAAGCGGTGGCGGACAACTGAAGACCCGGGTCTCCGGAATTTATGAAGACTGAAATGTCTAGCAATGCTCAAAAGCTGGCTCAGGCAAAACTGTTTCGTTGTAGAAAAGTTTTAGGTCATAAGTTGATGAAACACGTGGTAAATCCGAGATAAGCGACAAGAGACAAATGCAATAGAATTACAATGCAAAGAAATCGTATAACATATGAAACAAGCCAAAGTTAGAATGCAGGCATAGAGAGAGGTGTCAAGGGAGTGACTGTGAACAAAAGTAGGATCAACTTGGAAAATGATGTTACCTGCAGGACTGTCTTGGCGATTGACGTCATACAGACCTGGGGTAATATACCTGATAGTAGATATATTGCAAGAGTATGGGGCTGCCTTGGATCTTGATGGATTTATATTTAGATTTCTGCGAACTATGAGTCCTCCTTTTTTTTTAACGAATACGAATATCGAGTTATAGATACAGACTGAGAGGAAGAAATTGTGTATGCACTTTTTAAAACTACATAAGCTAAAGAGATACATACAACATTTGAATTTGAACAGAACTGCTGACGGATCAACATAAAACCAAGAGAAAAGAAGCGGCCAGCGCAAGGGGCCAGCCCCCCGATCAGATAGATCATAAAAGGAGAGTATCTATTAGATCGAGCATCTGATTCTTGTCGTCGGGACAAAGAATGAAGGGCTCTTCCATCCAGTGAAAGAACCCCCCGACAGACCAAGCTTGCCCAGGAATTTCTAAAACCCAGCCTAGGCGATAGGAGATGAATCTATCATTGCCAAATATGGCCATTGGAGGTGAGTTCGTAGCTCAGAGGGGGGAGATGACTGCCACTCAGACCACTCGTCGCTTAGGGCGGGATGTGAAGATCCCCAGGTCACAGACCGAAGGGGGGAAATCCAGTGCGTCGCCCTTTGCGCTCGATATCTGCCACAGGCGGATGTGCTCAAGTCTGACGAGGGCTGAAGGCAATCTTCTCTCACACTCGTCTTGCTGATATTCACCTCCTCGGACCAAAGATGACAAAAAGTGCGTGCTCCAACGAAGCATCACAGATGCAAGAAGGTGACGCTGTCGCATAAACCTATCCTCCAATTCTCCGATAAAGAGAACTAGCCGGTCCAGTACCCAGTACCAGAAGGACAGGTCCTGTAAGAAAGGGAAGAAAGCAAAAGCACACGCTGAACCCAGTCCAGTCGAGTAACTCAAGCTTGCTTTCTTCCCTTTCCAGCAAGCTGCGACATAAGAATCGAAAACATAATATTGGACATTCCACGTCCAAATTCATATCCTCCACATGCCGTGAGGCAGACCAGTCTTCATGACATATATGCAGGACAAAAGAAACGAAACATAACAGAGAGCCGTCCCGCCGCTTCTTAATGCAAATGGAAAAAAAAAAGAAAAAAAAAAAAAAAAACATCGCTGACGCTGGAATCAAACATCAAAACTATCAAAACAAGCGCAGAAAAAAGAAGATAATTCTGGTTATCATGCAAAAGGCAGGAGGGAGTATCACAGATGCACAGTGTCAAATCGAAGAGAACGCCGTCAAGAATGCGAATTGTCGTTGCTTGGAATCGGGTTCCCGGTAAGAAGAGAGGAGAGTAGTTTAGGAGTCGTGAAGAAACCGAAAAATTGCGCGCGCATCTAGTTTCAAGAAACGATCTACGTTTCTCAAACACAGGTTGCACGAACCGGGGGAGCCTGGACTGGGGAATGGTCGACATCACCGAGTCTACTCAGGAGAGCTGAGTTAGGCAATCGTGCCATATGGCAGCGGAGCAAAGTCCCCCAGCTAAAGCCCCCCATACCCATGTTGACAGCCGTGCTGCAGGGTTGTACAAGCATGCTTGGGAACATGGTCGGCAACGGGAGCGGACTGATAGCGGCCGATGTGGCCGGCATGCAAGTGGTCGGCAGGCAGTCGTAGGTTTGGAACGGCGAGGGGGTGAAGGGTTGGCTGTAAGACGGGGTCGGTGAGGCAAGCTGGGCATCACTGAAACTGAGACTAGCCCAAAGATTCGGATTAGAATCACCCGTGGTGGCCGGGTTGGGGCTGGGCGACAGTACTTTCCACGACTCGAGTGGCGCTGGCTGGGGCACCGGGTTCTGCCACCAGTTTTCTGGGCCTGTCGAACTAGGCAGGATAGGGATTGGGCGCATGACATCCACCACCGGTGGTGAAGGGGCAACCAGTGGGACAAAGAGCTTGCCGATGGCTGCCTTTGCTTCTTCGCTGCGACCACTCAGTAGCTCTCCAGCGCCGTCTTCTTCTAGCCCCTCCAGCGCCTGGGCATTGGCGCGGTATACAAACTTGTTGGCGGCTTGGACGAACTCCTCCTGTAATCTCTTCAGCTCACCATGCTTTCCCGACCAGTTGTATGTATTGGCGGCGGCATCCACCGAGTAGACCTCCTTGTGGAAATCAACTAGGGATTCAATAGTTTCCGGTGTCAACTTAAAGGCCACCTCGTTACGGGAGACCATGTCGACGTGTACAACATAGGCCTCCATGTGGATCATTTGGTGGTTGTGCAGGGCCTCCCAGAGCTGGTTCTCATTCTTCTCTAACTCTGTCTGGGGAGCCTTGGTGAACATCATGGAACACAAGGTCCAGATGGCATTTTTCGATGAGAGCGTTTCTGTCAGACACCGGGTATGCTGAGTAACATTGTTCAAAGGACGCTTGACCCGGTTTACTCGCTTCAGGGTGGCGGTCAACCAAGGCTCAACCTTGGTGTTCAACACAACATTCGGGGATGATCGCGGTGCAAAAGCAGCGGCGGAAGATGGGAGTAGGACTGTTGGCATTATGACACTGTGCGAAAGGTGATACGTCCGGCGTTGGTATAGATGATATAAAAGAATGTAGAATATAGAACATAAATCATAAAGGCGACATTCGCCCACACAAAATGTTGTTGGATTTTGGAATTGTGTTGAGATGTATATTAAAGTGCGGGCGAATGCGCGAAAACAGAAATTAGAATATAAAAGAAAGGAGATGACATGAAAGTCAAGAGTGGTTATAGAAAGAAAAGAGAGGGATGGTCAAGAAGAATAATAAGAGGAGGGGGGAACTATCAATAAGTGGAGATTTAATGGCCACAATAATATGTTAATTTTGGGATTATTTCCATTTTTTTTTCTCTTTTCTCTCTCTTAAGATAGAAGAAAACATAGAAAAAAAAAAACATCAGGAATTCATGTTTTTCTACGGTATTATTGTGGTATGCAGGCTGATGGAGTCAAATGTACATCAGTCTATGGCACATTTCGGACTCCCCGATCTGCAACCTGAAGACTCCAGTGGCGATAATACTTGAATACTTGAATATTTGAAACGGTTAAAAAAGCACGAGATCCAAACGTTTCATCAAATTTGATGGGTTCACTCGCACAGTGCCAGTCTCACACACCCGTTGCACGTCCATTTGGCCAGAACAGCTGCAGGATGCCCTAAACTGCAACAGCTAAGCCCCAATGATCCATGAAACGGCTTAAACAGAAAGAATTAGAAAACCTCCGAGTCCCCATAGATCGTCTAGAGCGATCAAATTACTATCTACTATTAGCGGGGACTTAAATACATTTCTCAGCTGGGCGATGTGCATATTTCAGTGTGCGCCAAGATCTACACATCGTTAAAGAGATACCGGATCCTCAACACTAGAGACACTAGAGTCCCCATGCTTTTAGGTGAAGACTCTATTTAGGCTGCAGCCTGCAAGCCAAGACTTAGTTTCGATCCCTTTTTCAATGTGGTTCAATACTGTACTTCAATATCCCAGGATATTAACAGAAAATAATATTTCCCAACCTTGGAAGGTTTACAGTATTAATAATATTACACGAAACACGACCATAACAACCATAACAACCATATCAAGGTTTTTTTTGGACCTATCGAGTGCCGCTAAGACAATACAGAGTCGTAGACCTCAGCTGATGGAGGGTCGAGCAAGCGTGGGGCAGAGCCCGTCTTGAGTCACTTCAGGGCTGGGATTCGCTGAGACCAACCGAGACCGGCCGATGCACAGAAAGCTGAGATCCCTGTTACGATCTGCCATTGGGCTGAGCCTCCATTGCCAGACTTTGGGACGGCGCCACTAGCCCTTGTGTACTCCGTACTCTCCGTACTGAAATACCGTTTCTTATTGTCTTATCCACATGATTCAAGTTTTCAATGATATCATCTTACTTTGTTTTCTCTGCAGGCGCCCTTTGCCTTCTGCCTCTTCCCTAAAATGGAATCCCTGCTGCATATGAGTTCGGTCACATGGTCTGATGTGGGTGTACCAGGGGGTTCGCTTTGAGTCGGGGGTTTCGTCATTGTCATTGTGTATCTATAGAAGGGTGGGCATATACAACATAGCGTGTGGAAAAATATGCGACCGAGTTGGTTGCTTTTTCCTAAAATAGATATGAGGCGGTGCATGTTACTCGCCACGTTGTGGCGGATATCTCCGGCCCCACATGTCTGTAAAAGCCCTATGTTGTACGTACAATGTAGTCACTATGGAGTATGGCTTCTTGCTTCACTTGGTTCATTTTCTTGCTTTACCGAAAACCGGTTGGAGAAGAGATATGAGTTGGCAAGAGTCGGGAGCTGGGATCTCAGGCAGATCTTAACCACATCCACAGTCAGGCGGGTACTGAAACTCAGCTCCGTCGGGTCCATATCATGCCTGGTTTCATGATTGTCAGGCTGCCATTAAGTTGGGATAGTGAAATCACCCCTCTACGAGTTAAGTAGTATCTTGGAATCCATTGCGTTTTGCAGACTGCGTCGGTTATGACTCATATGTGCTGATGATGTTCGATTTGAAACGAAGCCAGACAATGCCCCATTATTTACACGATATACCGTTTGTTGGACAGAATCCTAGGCGAACCCAGAATAAACCATTGCTTTTTAGGTATGGCAAATGATTGCTTCCCTGCGACCTATGCTTGGAACATACCCAAGTGGCTCATTCATATATGAGTGGTGCAGCGAGCTCAGAGTTCCACGTAGGCATCCATTAGACTACTTGATCATGAAAATAATAATTCATAGATCACTGCTCCTTTTTTTAAACGCCTTGTTAAACTTTCCTTTGTTATTTTTAGGTGTCACAGATTGTCGGGTTGTGCCCAAACCTCCGAGGAAAGCGTTTGGCCTGAGAATCTCCGAACGGTTTATATGCCAGTTGGGATCCTTGGAACCAGTTCACCCTACAAAAGAATGGTATTTGAGTATGATAATGGTATTGGCACCAGGTATAGAAAATAAAATGTCTCTAGTAGCATTAGCAACAAGTTGACGTTCTTGGCTTCATGAAGATATTATAATCTCTGCGTGTAGCCTCTGATTTTGTTCATCAAACCTGACTCGCGCTGCCAATTAAAAAGCAAATATGAAGAAGGAGACATATTACTGCATTTTCAAAAGAATATTGTACATTATATACGTTGTAGGCATAAACTGTAGCTTTCTATATGTTTGGATTATATAGCTGGCTCTTATAGCCCTAAAGAACTGAACTTCTTATAAATCACCACTAAACAAATTACATTAACCAATATAAAATTTGAGCCTCTTCATTATTATCTCAACGGTAAGTATGGCTTGTCGTTAGCTCAATAATAAACTAGCTCAATGACTGACACTCCTGACACTAATCCGTATTTATTGGCACACTGGTACATAAGACGATTGTTAGGTTACTACTAGGGATTGATATTTAATAAAGGATGGTCATCTACCCCTTTAAGAAGCACGTTACTCCAGTTGTATCTCACCTGCCTTAATAGCCGCATATGTATCCCTTCATTGATGGCTGCTCCTCTAGCTGTGTCCATGAGATAATGGATATCACCTGGCGGAAAACTAAGCAACTGATGCTAAAATTTCAGCGTAATGACACATATTTCCAGCAATGGTGCCTACAAATAGTTAAAGAGCGAAGTTGTGGAGCATAGGACTGTAGGGCGGCGCTCCACGCAGACGTTTGCATAATGTGTTAGATCTACTACATTACAGAATAGGCGAGTTGACACAGATTCCCGCAATAATGCACAAGTTATGTAGCAATATACTAATACAGGGACGGCGTATCCCGCGCCAAACGACTGATTCCCACTGTCAAGTTACCTCTTAACAGAGCAACGGCCTAGTATGGGGTTCTCTACCGCCTTGATCTTGACCCTGGTGCTCCCCAGAATCGCACTAGTCAATCCCGTCGCCCAGGTATCCTCATCTATGGGAGCTAGTGCGAGCACAGAGGTAGAGGCTAACAGTAAGGACACCGCGCTACCTCATGACATCAGATGCCACCACTTCTCTTGTACAGGCAGCAGAGAACATTGTCCAGACTGCTGCACAGTAAAATACCGAGACTACCCACGCTACTGCTGCAGTATTGAAGGCTTAGTCGAGCACAATAATAAGGAGGAAACTTCCGTGGACACAGCCAGCGTGGCGAAGAAGGATACCCATGGTGCCACGACTTCTGCCAACACTGAGACTTCGGTCAAGCCGGACACCTCGGGCCTGAACAGTATCCTGCCGACAGAGAACTCTTCTTTAAGAAGCTCTGCCTCAGAGACTACGTCTCATGCATCTTAGTATGATGGGAGGTCATCATCTTATCTTATAGGAGATCAGAGTCCACCACATTGGAGATATATGTGGAAGCCAAGCTAGTTTGGTCTCAGCGTTGTATGAAAGTAACCTTGGAATTATATTGAGTTGACGGAAGCTAAAGTACTATCTTTCCATGTTATCTGTGACTCTTATTAGCTCGAACATGTGGTAATGTCACGTTGTCTCCCGAGGTCCTCATTGGTTCAACTGACAGGGTTCCCCTCCCTAAGTGAGTGTACTTTTTACATCGGTTTTAGTGAATGTGCTGTGTTATGAATTAGAGTACAATCCGGAGCTCAAACTGCCTGAGCCTGAGCCCGCTGGCGATTGGTTGGTGACCTACGACCTGGGAAATAGTCGTTTTGGAAACGCAACCGAGAAAGGAGGATAGCTGTGTTCTTCTTCGCCCTATTTTTGTATGCTAGCTAGAACTCGTGGGTCTTTGGCATATAGCCAGAGGTTTCCCCCAAGTTCCTAGGGGAGACAGACGCGGAGATGTATTTTTTACCACAATTGTACTTCTCCCGAAGGCTTAGGTCCGCTCGGCTGTCACGGTGTTTCATTGATCATTGAATCCTTTCATTAATAGTAGATAGATTTAGAGTGAAGAGTAGGAGTCTATGGTGTAAATGCAGCTTAGTCTGCACTGAAGACTAACCACGGAAATTCTATTACTCGGATCTTCTCTCTTTATAGGGCTTCTCTACTATAGCTCATCCCATAAACAACTAATTTGCCTATAGGACCCAAGGTAAAAAATCGAGTCCAAAGTTACGGGTGGAAATTCGGCTATTTCTGGCGCCAGAGACTGTAATTTTCGGCATCGATTTCACAGGTCCCGATATTCTAGTTGTAATGATAGCTCGTCGATTTCCATAAAGTTTGGCGTTGTTCGCGCGAGGCGTTATAATTGTTGATCCAGTCCTGGAATTCCCAAAAGAGGCAAGTTATGTTTGCTTCAAGATGTTTCAGTTGGATTGGAGAGTCTATTGTCGTATTGTTCAAGCGAACTCTCACATGGGTAGACATGACATGGGCGCATGATCCTTAGTTTGCCTGTCTCCTCACATTTTGACCCAAAAAGGGTGTTCTTTTTCTCGGAAATGCTGGAGATGATGGCGATGTGATCCATGGGAAGTCACGAGGAATTTAACTTCACCGGAATCATGAATGAAGAGTTCTTTCAAGCGCGGCTGAGAACGAACCAAGTCTCTTTTGTGAATGGTAGTCTGTCCACCAGGAAAGATGACAAGAGCATGAAAAAAAGGTTTGGTTTTTCCTTTGTGGTCTGAATGTCTGAATGGTATAGAAGAAAAGTTGGTATCGCCTGCCTCAAGACGGAACGTCCGATGCCTTGGTCTCTTGAAACTTGGACACGACCTTCATCTCAGTATCGCGTTCCTTGACCTTCTTGTCCATGGATTTTTGAACCTCCTCTCGTTTCCGTTTAGAAGTCTCAATCTTGTCTCTGACTTCTTTGGCAATTTGTTCCTGCGCATGGAGCGCGGCCTCGCGTGATTTGTATTGTTCTTCCAGCTGCTTAAGCTCGGTTTGGTAGTCTCGAGGTTTGATTGGTTGGCATGTTACTGGGTGATAGATGTATAATGGCAGTGGTCCATCTGGAAGTTTTATTTCGACGAGATCAGGGTGGATTGGGGTGACGCGGGTTGTTGAATCCAAAGGAATGGCTACGGCTTCGGCCGGGGGAGATGAAGCAGGAGGGGTAGGTTCGGGTTTCACCATGGTTGTGGAGTGATAGCAAGGTAAAAAAACGGTAGTATTTCGCAAGCAACAGGTATTTATCGCCTGACGTTATCGAAGAAGAGGTGAGATGAGTACTGGCGTATGTTGTAGAAGTCACCTTCACAGTCTGGTTATTGATTCTGCCACATCATCACACTTCACCGCCCATAGTGTCCGCGGCGTATGCGGGGAGGACTCTTAGCCAAATTGACGACTCTATCACTACCTGACGTTTTAAATTCATGCTAGTTGGGCTTCTTCTCAGCTCCAGATCGAGATATTTCCTCGAGGCCGGTCCTGGGTGGACCAGTTGATGTGCCTGTGATATCTGAGTTCCCACAAGCTTGAACCGGTGACGTGACCGTTAACATGCAGGCATTTGGTATGTTCCTCTATACTTGCTGATTGATGTAAGCTAACAAACTCGCGGTAGTCCCCAAGAATAGGCGAGTGCGTTATCTGATAAGCCCAAGTGAAATAAATTTGTAACTGACTTCTGTTACAGCCTAGGTTCGAGCTCATTTTGAGGGTACGCATTATACACAAACCATGGAAATGCTGTCAAGATTTCTGACCTTTCGAAGATCATTGATATCAATAATGTCCCCTTGGGCAACAGCGTTGCTTTTGTGCGATGGCGATTGCCATCATCAAGCTCCACGGAACACCAAGGCCACACAGAGAAAGCAATTCTATCAGATCACCGCGCTTACTGGGGTTATGAGAAATGCCTTCAAGTAAGGCTTACAATTGATAGGACATCAATTCTTCAGGAGTGTGAACTCAACTTTGAAGTCATACAAGAGTACACCACGTCACCCATATCCGAAAAGTGCGTGCTTGGTAAAATCAAACTCAATCTCGCCGAATACGTGGACAAAACCGAGGAAGATGAAGGGATCATTCGGCGATACCTGATGCATGAAAGTAAAGTGAACAGTACTGTCAAGATCGGGATCGCGATGCGTCAGCTGGAAGGAGACCGCAACTTTACGACGTAAGCGAAGCCCCAAAACTTGTTTCTGAGCAACACCGTCAATACTGATTATGAAAGACCCCAGCTGAAATCTGCCACCGTCTTTGGAGGAATTGCCGGAGTTGTTCAATCCACCGAACTACCTATCAACGCCGATGAATTTGGCCACCTGCCATCTATTGACACCAAGAGTCGGGAGATAGCAGATATGCAAGACATGTATCGACGCACTCTAGCAGCGTCGTGGTCTTCTAGAGCCTGTGATCTGCCTGCTGATAAGTTGGTTGAAGAGTTGTTTGCTGGGGGTTCTTGCTGGAGCAACGCACAAAATGCCAACACTGGCATATCAGGAGGTGATCACAGAGATTCCTTATTGAGCGCAGAGGCAGTCCCACGCCAAAGCCGCTCCGGCAAAAAGCTGTCACCCAGTTTTGAACGGCGCCCCAAAAGTACTTCCAGCAATCGCTCACACAGTAGCAGTAAGGCCCCAGAGTCTCTTGCTGCGCTTGGGCATCAGAAAAAGAGCGGTAGCATTGAACAGCAGTTGTATGAAGGAGTCAAGGGTCGGGCATGGAAGGCGCCAGACACAAAAAATGAGCTTTCTGAGTTTGATGTGAGAGAGGATTTGCGCAGCTGGGAAGTTGTACCAAAAGAATGAATTCTACATACATTTTTGCGCTAAGCATTACTTTAAATAATCCCTTTCTCATACAATTGAAAGATACATTTGAAAGGTTGTTCTACACAGCCGAAGAAGTAATTCAAGAATTTTTGTTCATCGTACATGGTAGGTAGATATTACGGTCATGTAATTGCTGCCTGAGGCAGAAATCGATTTCTTATCGCGGCCTAGCGCCCCGATTATCGCCGGAGAAAAGTGATTGTAGGATAATTTGTCCTCTCCACGTTTGCAATAGGCCTACTGTTCTGTCATGCTTCGACGCCCCTCAGGGAAAAAGCTGGGGCTTCTGAGCTTCCAGTCACTTTCATATCGGAGACCGCTATTGTCATACCCACATGCCGTTCTTCCCCGATACCAGAGCAACTGGAGTCGCGACCATGAGCGCGAAGCTTTCGATGGACCCAATTCCGAACGAAACCGCGAACCGAAATATAACGGACAAAATGAAGCAGGCAGATTCACATTAGATGTGGACTCACTTGGAAAGCCAGGACAAATCGTTGTTGTACCTTCACGTCGCCGCCGAAAGTTAAATCGCCATCGCAACAAAAGCCCCGAAAATGAATCTAGCGGCACAATCAGCGCAATGTTGGATGAACTTAATGACGAGAGCTCATCGCCCAGCGACAAGTCGGTCCAGGACAGAATTGATGAGGTCCGTGGATCGTATCAACTGGGACAGATCTTGCCTACTGCTGATCTCGAGGCATTGTGGTCAAAATTAGCTTCCTCTTTCACATACAAGCAATTATCGGACTTCATTTCAGAGCACAACCGTAATGCTGTGATAGAAGAGAAAGACTGGACATGGGGACCAAGCAACTCCAAGTCGCAGGACACATCATTGAGAAAGACCAAGGGCCTCAGAGGGAAATCCCGGGCTGCCGAGACGATTGTTCGGCATTGTTGGCAGCTAGTGGCTGATGGTGAACGTGGCCAGTTGGAATTCCGCATACCAGCTCAGTTCATATCATTGCTTCTCCATGCCGAGCATTTCTCTTTCCACGAGCTGGCTAGTCTCCATGGCTGTGGCATTGATGTGACGCAATCTGCCGGCCTGATATCACTTACTGGCAAGAGAAATGATTGTGAGTCTGTTCACGAGATTATCATTGATGCCACTGGCAGAATTTGCGAAGATGATGTTGGAATCCAGCCTTATTCCCATGGAGATGGAACCATACAGGTTTTTACCCCGGACTTTTTGGAATGGGTTAACAGCACATATGGGGTGTTTGTGGAACATAAAGCGCACAGAACACCGCAAAAGATTCTCTATCTTGCTGAAAATAAGGTGGGAGCAGATAATGCACGAAGGACCTTGAACTTGGCTTTATCCAACACCACATCTCCATCGACGCCATTTTCAACATATTTACCTGCCTCGGAACTTGCGAGTGCTTATAGCTACAGACCAGAAGCTCATGCTTCGTGGTTTGAGCAGCAAAAGTCGTGGTTCCGGTGGGCGATGTCTTCCAGTCAAAATGCGGAGGCAGAAAACCTTGAAACTCCTTTCTTCGATAAGCATCAAACACGACTCTCAGATGAACTATTGAAGCTTCTCCGAGTCACTACTCCGAAAACCGGGCTGGCCCCTGGTTTGCATGAATCTGTGACAGCCGTGGTTGGGAAATGCCTTTTTATGCAAAAGTCCTCTTTCAATGATACAGCCATCAGTCCGGCAGAGTTGGGGAGACTGTCCCTTCCACGGGCTTTCACAAACGATATACCTCTGGTGTCGCGTTTCATCAACTCACTCACGCCTATCCGCCCAAATAATGACGCACGGCTATATCGACTTCGGTTATCTCCAACCTCCAACGGAGGATCCCCGCCGGAACTCGAAATCGAAGTAGCCATGAACTCAAACTTAGATGGCGTGGACGTCCACAGCGTAAAGGCTATTCTTGCCACAAACAACGTTGATTACCTGCTTCCGGAAAATGGTCTGGACCTGCGTTTTACACGAACTGTTTCCCAAGACCTCCTGTCCAAGCCATCTTCCAACCCAGAACTCCCGCAAAGCTCTTCTGGGCACATCTTCCCCGAGCCTTCGTCGCCACAAATCCAAGCAATGCTGCAAAGCCTCAAAATCTCCCTCCAGGGCTCAATAGTCCGCAGTGAGGCTTCGCAAGGCCCTGTTCCACTCCCTATATTTTGTAACATTACTCTTCCCTGTGAACTTGTTCATCAGCCTGCCTCACAAAAAGCTAAATCCAAAAAGTTGGACGAATCAATGGCAGAGAACAGCGTCGCTGTCGAATACATGTTCCCTCCACTCAGCGACATCCGAGGTGCCATTGTCCAAAAGTACAACTTCTGTGGACGATCACTTGACTACCGGTATTACGAAAGCGGTTCGCTCCTTGCTGCTCGGACAAATGAGGTCTCTCTGGGCATGGAGATACCCAGAATTGACTCGGTTGCAGAGAATGGTCAATCTGAGCACCTTGATCATGAATTCCATTCGTTCTACAACGCGGCGTGTGACATGGCGTTCAAAATCCACGGCAAAAGATATGTGGATTAACAGCATGGGTCGCTTTTTTTTTGAATTTGTACAGCGTGCATCAACAGCCATCATCATGGAATGGCGGCGTCTTGGGTCTGTATATACTGTACATTATGTAAAATATTCATTTGTTTCCAAGGTTTAGACTTGGATTATGTTTTGGCTTTTAATCTAGCTAGTCAGAAAGTCTCCCTGAATATACACAATTACCGAAAAATCAAAAAAAAAAAAAAAAACCCCACTATTCACAGACACCAGGTAAGAATGGCGGTCATAATTTAGAAACTTCATTAAGCATTTTACCAAATCTGTCACAAACATGATATCACTCGACGTTTTAAACTGCGCCTCTTTTTGGTACTCGCTCATTGACTATCTTTTGGGTGACCTAACTCAGGATCAAGGTAATCTAGAGATGCCGTGTAATCGTGTCAAATAGGCTTTGACGATCTTGAACTAATGGCCCATTTGAATCTACTAATGGGGTACCTCGTTGATCTTCGTATCTAGGTTGATATTCTGCTATAATATAACTGGGTACGTTTACGTTGTACGCTATACAATCCACAGGCATAATTGGCCACTCCAAGCCCGCTCCATCAAATTGAATTTTGCTTTCATAGAGAAGATGAGGAGTAGTTAATATAATCAATTACTATCTGGAGGACTGGGGACAGCAGTCTAACATAATACGCTTGGAAGGTCAATATATTCATACTCAACCTTTTAAGTGTTCAGTTAACCCACGCTGTGCATCTCCGAGTTTTCCTAGAGAATTTTTAAACCATAAGCCAAGATGCCTCGTTTTAAACCGTTCTATTCTCGCGTATAACAACAATATAGACAACATATAATATGCCTACAGACGTTGTAGGTCGTCGGCGTGACCTTGGGCCCCACAGCTGATCAAGGCCCGTGACGTGTAACACTTCTCATCCCAACTACTTCACGCGCCTCATACCTCCAGGACTGCCCAGGCAGGTGTTTAAGACTGATTCCAGTCAGTTGATTGATTAAAGGTCCACAATAAAAAAATATATGTACCTATATTGATCCATATTACTCGCAATCTTTGTTGTGCCCTCCGATCCTACTGTTCGACACCATTCCCCTCACCCAGCATATTCAGCATGAAGGTCACGCGCCAGTGATTTACACGGCATGGAGAAAACACGGATTGCTAAGGTTCGGAGAACCCATCTTGAGCGCTACAAACATCCCACTCACCGATCATGTCGTTCCAGGTTGACAATGTGACCTTGGCTCGCCGCGGAGAGCAGGTCGATGGTACCCTCCATCTAACCCCTCACCACCTCATCTTTTCGCACACCCCACCTATCTCCCCAGAGGACCAGATAAAGGGCGTGATAACAAGGCCCAGAGAACTCTGGATCACATATCCTATCATCGCTTTCTGCACCCTGCGGCCAGCTCCCGCCGCCTCCCGCCAGCTCTCTTCTATCCGCCTCCGATGCCGAGACTTCACGTTCGTCTGTTTCTACTTTGTAAATGAGCACAAAGCACGGGATGTGTTTGAAAGTATCAAGCAGTGGACGTGCAAATCCAGTCGTATCGATAAGCTTTACGCCTTTAGTTATCAGCCTCCCCCGCCAGAAAAGGAGTTTAATGGGTGGGAGTTGTATGACCCACGCAAGGAATGGGCACGCCAGGGCTGCTTGAACGATGGGAAAGCATGGCGCCTTTCAGAGATCAACATGAACTATGAGGCATGCTCACAAACCAATCCGACTGTGCTCTACTGACTCATCCTAGTTCTCTCCGACCTATCCTGCCCTCATCCCTGTACCTTGTTCCATTTCCGACAATACACTTAATTACGCAGGGCGCTATCGATCTCGAGCAAGAATTCCAGCCCTCACGTACTTCCACCCTGTCAATAATTGCACCATCACCAGAAGCTCACAGCCGCTGGTCGGTGTCCGTCAGAACCGAAGCATTCAAGATGAAAAGCTTCTGTCCGCTATCTTCTTGACTTCTCGTTCCGAGCGGCCGTTGGCAAGTTTCTCGGCCACAGAGAAAGAGCCAGATTCCAGCAGCCCAGAAACGAGCCAGGTGATGGTTCCTGAATTAAACAATGCCGAGGAACTTGAGGACGACTTGTTAGCCGCTACAAGTGGCGATCCTGAAGATCATCGCTCGATATATGGTGCCCAGCAGTCGAATTTGATCGTAGACGCTCGCCCTACAGTGAATGCATTTGCCATGCAGGCTGTTGGACTTGGATCGGAGAACATGGACAACTACAAATTCGCTACCAAGGCATATCTTGGCATTGACAATATCCATGTTATGCGAGACTCGCTTAACAAGGTGATTGATGCTTTGAAGGAGTCAGATGTTACCCCATTAGGGCCAAATCGTGACCAGCTAGCGCGCAGCGGCTGGTTGAAGCATATTGGCGGAATCTTGGAGGGAGCCAGGCTAATCACTCGTCAAGTTGGACTTACTCATTCTCATGTTTTGATCCACTGCTCTGATGGCTGGGACCGTACGAGCCAGCTCAGTGCGCTGAGCCAGATTTGTTTGGACCCCTACTTTCGGACCCTGGAGGGCTTCATGGTGCTGGTAGAGAAAGACTGGCTTTCATTTGGACACATGTTCCGACACCGGTCTGGTCATTTAAACAGCGAGAAATGGTTCCAGATCGAAAACGAACGCATCGGCGGAGATCCCAACCGTGCCTTTGGCGACGGTGGGGGTGCAGGGAAGGCTATTGAAAATGCTTTCCTGAGTGCCAAGGGATTCTTTGGTCGAGACAACAATAGCCGTGACTCTTTGCCGGACTCAGATGGAGAGCTTCAAAACTATGACTCTGACACTCCCGTGAAGAAGCCTACTATACCGCGCTCGGGGGTGTCCGAGAAGGAGATAACCAAACCAAAAGAGACGAGCCCTGTGTTCCATCAGTTCTTGGATGCAACATATCAGCTGCTTCATCAACATCCGACACGATTTGAGTTTAACGAGCGTTTCCTGCGACGACTGCTCTATCATCTCTACTCCTGTCAATTTGGCACATTCTTGTTCAACAGCGAGAAAGAACGTGTGGATTGCAAGGCCAGTGAACGAACCCGTAGCGTTTGGGATTACTTCCTCGCTCGCCGGGAGCAATTCACGAATCCTCAGTATGACCCTGTCATTGACGACAATCAGCGCGGAAAGGAACGACTCATCTTTCCCCGGGTCAATGAAACACGGTGGTGGAATGAGGTATTCGGTCGAACAGACGCAGAGATGAACGGGCCCCGTTCCTCGGCGACACCCAGTGACATCCCGCAAAGTACAGTGTTGACTGGTATTGAGACTGCAGGGACAAACAGTGCGGGTAAAATGACTGATGTATCGGGGATGACAGCTGCTGTGACGTCGGGCGTATCTAAGCTTGCATTCCCAGCGGAGCGCACCGACAAACCGACCGAGTTAGAAGTAGAGATGCAATGAACCGAGGTAATATCAAAGGACTCGGATATGATTTTCAAGCATTTACAATTTTATGCTATGCATCCGCGTTCATGCGACCAATAAAGTGATTCGTCCAATGGTGTCGGAGTACCTACGGAGTAGGTATTTAAATGTAATAAATGTTACTGCCTTATTGCCTTAATATTGCCTCAAAGATAAGGTGCCAACGCTAGGACCAAGCAGGAAAGGCGCCGGCAAGCGAGGGTTGAGCCCTGGCCCAAACGGGCAAGCAGCCCTAGTCCCGAAAAATCCCCACTAAATAATACACTCTCAGAATTGAAGTCTCTCGACCACGATCCCCTCCGTCGACAACCCCCGATTCCACCACCACCAGGAACGTCAAAATGGCCGCTGTTCAGGGAGCTATTTCTAAGCGCAGAAAGTTCGTCGCCGACGGTGTCTTCTATGCCGAGCTGAACGAGTTCTTCCAGCGCGAGCTGGCCGAGGAGGGCTACTCCGGTGTGGAAGTCCGTGTGACTCCCACTGTCACCGACATCAGTACGTCGAACCCGAAAAACCAATCCCTCGTGTGATCGCTTGAAAATTGCTGGTTGAAATTGCCTGGAAAGAGGAGGAAGAGAAAGATTTACGATCGCGATGGGATCTACGGAATACGAATTGGGGATTTGATGCTAACGGGCTTTCCAGTTGTCCGTGCCACCCACACCCAGGAGGTTCTCGGTGAGCAGGGTCGCCGCATCCGCGAGCTCACCTCCCTCATCCAGAAGCGCTTCAAGTTCCCCGAGAACTCCGTCTCCCTCTACGCCGCCAAGGTCCAGAACCGCGGTCTCTCCGCTGTCGCTCAGTGCGAGTCCCTCCGCTACAAGCTCCTTAACGGTCTTGCCGTTCGTCGTGCCTGCTACGGTGTCCTCCGTTTCATCATGGAGTCTGGTGCCAAGGGTTGCGAGGTTGTTGTGTCCGGAAAGCTCCGTGCTGCCCGTGCCAAGTCCATGAAGTTCACCGTACGTCTATCCTAGGGGAAAAAATTGCGCCCGACGAATCGACCCGCGAAAACCAGTTGAGGAAGAATATTATGGCTAATACAAGTAACAGGACGGTTTCATGATCCACTCCGGTCAGCCCGCCAAGGAGTTCATTGACTCCGCTACTCGTCACGTTCTCCTCCGCCAGGGTGTCCTCGGTATCAAGGTTAAGATCATGCGCGGCTCCGACCCCGAGGGCAAGGCCGGCCCCCAGAAGACTCTCCCCGACTCGGTCACCATCATCGAGCCCAAGGAGGAGCAGCCCGTTCTCCAGCCCATGAGCCAGGACTACGGTGCCAAGGCTATTGCCGCTCAGCAGGCCGCCGAGCAGCAGCGTCTTGCCGAGCAGCAGGCCGCAGAGGCAGAGGGTGGTGCGGAGACTTTCGCTCAGGAGTAAATGTTTTTATCTACATTAGGCCCGGCTCTTCCCTTTTCTTCCATCTGTCCTAACCTAACCTGATACTCTACCTCACGCAATCAAAATTACATGACCTTCAAAGCCTTTTATTCGCTATTCTATAATTTGTATTGGCCAATGCGGTGAAGGTCAGCTGGAAGATTCGAGGTCTGGTACATATTGGCAAGAAGAGGCTTTCCTTGCCATTGGATATCAGGCATCATATACTGGAATCAAAGTTTCGATATATATTATCTGTTTCCGTGTCTGCGTCCTACTTTGCGTAGTATGGGGGATTTAGATCCAGAAATATAGCTCTCGTGTCCACCTTCGGATCATTGGCATATAGCTTTTGGTTTAGATGTGACTGGAGAATTTCAACTAGGATGTGTATATATATATTTATCAAGCCATTGACAGGCTCTCGGATGGAGCTAACCAATTTAGAGCTATTGGATTTCCTTTATATATATTTCCTAAGTGGTGGTAATTCGGTGATATCTCTTCTGCCTTTTAATCTAAATATGTAGGCAAGAAGTACGCGGGGAGAAAGAAATGAAAACAGGTTGAATACCTACATATACTGCTAGCTGGATACATATCTCTAGTCTCACGAGAGGATTCGTACTTTTGCGGGTGCACAACTGAACTATAAGAGTAGGAAGAATGCAATGCTCCATTCAGGGTCGCCATTATTATTTCATAACAAAAATATCATCTAAGAAATTTCCATACATATGCATATGCAAAAGCACAATGGAGTACATGTCTCAACCAGGTTCAACCATAAATACGAATCGAATCAGCTTATCCAAGATTGAAAAAATTGACAAAAGAAATTAAAGAAAAGGAATGAGTACTGTCAACGGTCACGGTATGAGGCAGCGGCAAGCCGACTAAACAGCAGCTCGGGATGCTCCAAGACCTCCGAATGCCGACGATGTAGCTCCTCGAGCTGAGTTAGGGGATTCTGTAGATCGCCACAATAAGTACGTTGCGCCGAGGAGAGAAGAGAACACATCAACCGTGACACCCACCCATTCCTCCTGGCTAGGCACGCCCTCGGCAACAGGGAGAGCGGCCGTACCGGAGGCCTCATCCCCATGACTGGTGCGGCGGATTGGGGCCGGCGTTACGGGCAGACTGGGGCGCTCAACTTCTGTTGGGAAGTCGGTAATCTTGGTGCTAGGGCGGAATCCTGGGGTGGGGGGTGATCTCCCGGGGCTGTTGGAATTGGCCCCCGGACTGGTCACTTGTGATTTTGTGCGCCGAGCCTGAATTGTCTCAATGTATCGCTGGATCTCTGGGTCCTCATCCCAGGCGTTGGAGCGGGTGTATGTTTGCCATGATTCGGAACTGGGTTCGAACGGCACCCGGGTGTAGGAAGGTGAGGGCTGGGGAGAGACTGGCTCGCTTGGTAGTGAATGTTGCTCTGGTTCCTCGGGTATCACGGGGGTTTCCATGAGCTGCACAGGTGCCTCCTCGGCGAAGACACGAGTGGGTTTCGGAGCATGGCTCTCCCAGGGGAAGACGGTGGTAGGTTTGGGCTCCGGTTTGGCTGGAACCTCATACCACATGTTTTTCGGTGCCTCGGGGTAGGACGACGGGGGTTGGAATAGATGCGTGTCTTCAGACATATTGTAGGTTTTCTGTTGTAAACTGAAACCTTCGGGTTTCGTGTTGACCGGTGGTGGCTCACTATGGGATATTAGCACTGTAGACAATACTGAGGGATAAGCTCTCACCGTGAGGGATCCCACTCGGATCTCGGCGCCTCAAAGGTCGAAACCTCTGGGACTGGAGATGGGGGTGATTGATACTCGATAATTGGAGGATGGATCGGGGCCAGCGGCTGTGGTTGGTGAATATGGCCATCGGGGTAGTGTATCTGGGTCTGGGTCTGGGTCTGTACCGGCAACTGTGTCTGGGTCGGGGTTAGGGATTGCGTCTGCGCCTGCGTTTGTACCTGTGTCTCATATGTTTCGTGGCTCAGTTGGGGCGCAAAAGTGATTGGCGCAGGAGGCAATGGTGGGATAAAGGTTGAGACATGCTCCTCTCCGCGAACATATTGCGGTACCATACTCAATATAGGCACAGCAGCATGATTTACATGGGCGGGAGTAGAATGTTCGTGGGGCAGTTTCGGTTCTTGGTGTGATTCCTCGTGGAAGTTCGTGGGTTTTTCAACATGGTAGGTCTGCCGTTCAGATGTCGGCTGTGTTTCATAATGGGGGGTTGTTTCATAACGAGGAGCGTCATAACGAGGGATGTGGTCAGAACGAGAGGCATGGGCTTGATCGCCTTGAGCAACCGCCGTCTTTTCAATCTCAACTGGCGCGGTCGGTACCTAAGGATGTTAGTCCACGTCTTCACGATCTCTGGCATATCACTTACAAATGCCAGACGATAGTGTCTATCATAGACAGACCACCACCGGCCTAGAAGCTGATTGTACGGGGAATCCAGCGGGACAATCTGCCTCGGCATATTCCATGGCTTCTGGGCACCAATGAAATGAATAAGACTGATGGTACTCTGGAAATGCTTGTACGCAGGAATGTACTGGTAATTAGCACTTGGCGTGCAGTTATACGTGAAGCTTAGCCTATGCCAGTCCCGGAAATGCATGTTCAGCAGACCCTGATCGGCGCCATCGAAGCTGATACCTCGTTGAGCGAGTGCTTTTAGCGCATAATAGTCCTGTAGATTAGGTCGGAGGACCATCATTCCACTATTAAAGCAATCCGGCCAACCAACGTCAGGCGCAGCAGCGAAATCTGCTTCCAGTGATAACAGCTCGTCGGGAGCTCGGAGAGCTACGACATCACAATCAATGTATACGACCCGCTGGTATTGCGTCAGGCGCCAGAGCTCGATCTTGGTGAATGTGGCAATTAGGTCTGGGCGATCCATGAGCCAGAGATTCGCCGGCGTGTCGTTTACCATTGAGCTCACTGGGATCAGCTCGTCATAGACGGTCTAATTTGTAAGTCAAATGTATAGTTTGGGGCATGTTGTACGTACCCTTAGCTCGTCAATGGTGGTCGATTGTAGTCTGTCTGGCGTAAATAGCGCCACCAACCTCGCTTTTGTACCATTGTCGCGTAGGGAATGGGCAAGGACCATAGCACCTATAAAGATTTAGATTTAGAATAGTTCCACATCACATATGAATGAGAACATACCAGGAAGATAATTGTCACTCAACAGAAGCTGTCCATCGTCAATTTACGCCATAAGCATAGGAAGGGGGATGGTTAAAGTACCGTGCAATAGACTGCTCCATTGGAATCCATCACGCCACAGTTCCAACAGCAAAAGAATGATCAGATCGCAGACAAATTCTGGAGCAGAGAAGAAAAACCCCCAAAACAAGAAAAGCTGTCGGGCTATATTTAACCTGTCAATTGCCAATGACAGTTCAGACCGGTAGCGCGATACACCGACTGTGGTACCTGGACCGAACGCAGATTCGAGGGGGGACGAAAACAGGAGAATTTTTTGGTTTTTTTTTTCTTTTCACTGCATGTTGTGTAAGGTTGAACTCTTTGAGATTGAGAAAGAAAAGAGAAAGTGGCGAGTCATAAGATTAAAGTAAATGGAAAGCAAAGGCCGAGATGTAGGCAAATTAAGGTCAAAGCTCCCGAGGGGAAAAAGTGGAGTGGTATTTCCCGGGTAAATCATCGATCCCCGCTGGGGAGATAATTCTGTTGAGATTATTTTTCTCTCTTCCCTTCAACACTTTATTGAGTGTTCTATATTCTATATTCTATATTCTATATCCTCTGCCCTTATTGTTACAAAATATACGCTGAATATCCATCCTTTTTAAAGTGGTCTATGGTCTAACATGGAAGTGAAATAACACCTTCACTCTAACCGCTTTAGATCGGGTTGCCCCCGCAATACGAAAACGTCGAAACGTCGAATATCAGATTTGTCCAACATATTGCCTATGTTTATCGTGAAAAACTGACCTGGATACCAGGATAGGATTCACTGATGACGGTCCCAATATCCCCCTCTTCGCCTTGGGCAGCCCATTCAACAGCCTTGATCAAAGCTGCCCCGCTCTCACGTTCAACCGGGGTCCAATGTCCAGTACGGGGAAGTAGCACAATCTGAGACCCCTGTACCAAGTAATCACCCATCCCATCAAGGCAGATCCTTTGGTCAAGAGCAATATCATCCTTGCCCCAGAAAATGGTCGTGCTGGCTTTGAGAGCGCCGGGGGGACCTTCATCAAACAACCCAGCCCCACTGCTCGCTAGCCGCTTTCCGGATGAAATGCTGTGCAAACTAGCAACCGTCTCAAGAGACTTGTCCCAACGCGCCACCGATGCCCGGTCACGGTAATAAGCCGCCATGTGGAGGACATGTGCAAACGCACGTTCGTTGATGCTGGCAGGATAGGCATCACCGCTGGGGGTTTTAGTATCCGATTCTGCAGCGGACGGTCCCATGGTGCTAGCCATGCTGTTGGCCACGTCGAGGGGGGTACACTCGTCCTTGTTGTACGAGGTGAGGTGGCAGCTTTTCATCAGCGAGTGGTTGCCTCCAGACAGGAAGTAGTAGACAATTGGCGTTGGTAGCTGCATTGCAAAGATGTAGCCGGAGAGAACAAGCTGGCGGCCAAGAGGGGCAAGGGTTCGGAGTGCTTGCATCAACGGCACGCGGGCGTTCAATGGTGAACGCCATGCGTTACCGAGCATCTTATTGGCCGAGAAGAGCAGACGGCGGATATTGGATTCAACCAATTTCATCTGAATCGTTAGTTAAGATAAACATATTCACCGGTGTTTTGACATACTGATGGTCCGTTGGACAGGATGAACCGATGGGCCAGGGACGGAGCTTCGGCAGCGAGGCGCATGGACAAGACACAGCCCCAATCATGGGCGACAATTATGGTTCTCTTCTTGTTGCTTTCGTTCCCCGAGTCCACGCCATACTGAGTCCGCAGGGTGACGATCAACTCTGTCAACTTCTCCAAGACGTTTGTTGCAGTATATTTTTCCAGGCTCTCTGTGCCTCCATATCCAGGAAGGTCAATCGCAACGATGGAGACGGCCTCTTGCAGAGCAGGGTTTCTGATAATGTGTCGCCAGATCGCCCAGCTATCGGGGAATCCGTGGATGAAGATGACCAATGGTTTATCGGAATTGATGGTTTCCGGTGTGTTCGGGATATCGTTACTGACAAAGTGGAACTTGAATCCGCTCTGCAAAGTTAGAATGTGGTGAGAGAGACCTTCGAAGTCTCTAGATAAATCCCACAGGCGATTGCGAGCTGGAAAGTCAGCAAAGAACCTTCATAGTGGTGAATACACAGCTTACCAAGCTGCAGGTCCCGTTTCTCGTTTTCGGTGGGGCGTTTGAAGTATGTGCCTTTCGCCAAGGCAATGAAACCATAAAGAGCAACTGTAAAGAGGCCGTAGGAAAAGACGGCCGCGCCGATCAAGGCACGAGATAGGGATTTACCCATATTGGAATCATGTGTTGAAGGAGTGAGATGGAGTGAGCGTGTAATAAATCTAGAGCTGGGGCAAACGGAGCTCGGGCCATTCACGGGTAGCGTCACGCCTGAGTCAGCGATGGGCTGACCCGTGGACGGGTACCTACATGCAGGTATGTTATGTGTGTAGGAAGTATCTATGGACATCTCATAATTTAGATAATTCACATCAAGATACAGGTTCAGGGATGCAAGCATATTATGCTGTAAATTGTAGGTAGTTTACAGCTTTTCTCAATCTATGGCATACCGAACGCCACCTCCACATGCACGAATATTATTGGTAGGAAACAGGTCCAAGAGAAAGGGGGTATTAACAAGAGCCCAAAAACAAAAAGCCATCATCTCGTCGAAGGAATATATACAGATCAAAGAACGAATCCTAGTTGCTCACGGTTGTCGTCTACCAAGCGTCCATATCTGAAAAGTGAGCAGGTTAGCAGAATTCTCTTATAGAATAATGAGGTACTTACTCTAGGAGTAGCCGGAAGAACCAAACCTCCAGGTCTTCATTTCGTAAGGTCTGCTGTGCCCAGCGCTGGCCCTGCTTGGCGATTTGAAGAGCTGCATTTTTACCATCTTCTTCCGAGGTAAAGTATCGCATGCTCTCAACGTACTCGTTGCCTTTCAAGCTGAGAGGGACGTAATGTACCCAGGGCTTCAGCCACTCGTCATGCCATTCGCGGAAGATAGCGATCTTGTAGACAAAGCTGTTACTATGCAAGAACGCGTGGAATCGCCCACTAAACGCGTTGCCGTCGATGTCGACTAGGAACTTGTGCGCCCACGCATCTTGTTGCCCGGCCTGCTTGAACACCCCAAAGTATTCAGTCTGCGCATTGCAATCGTCCGGGTCGCACTGACCAATAAGTGTGAACTTTACATCGAAGGAATCACGATACGCGTCCCGGTTGGCGACCTGTGAAACCCAGCTGTCCCCCTGGTGAGCGAGAACTTCGGTGGTGCCCAAGGCGTTGACGTTGTCGACAAATTGCTGCCGATGCTGTCGGCGCCAACCACCCGCGCGCGAAAATCCGCCGGTTGTGGAACCACGCCAGTACATTCGGTCAGACTTGGCCTCCCACGGATAGTCTTTCTCGGTGTCGTAGGGGACCTTGTCGGCCCAGTACCAGGGACTCGGGTAAATAATGTCCTGAAAGCTGGAAATTTTGCTTTGCGAGAAGACAGGGAACAGATCGTGGACGACATCGAAGGCGTTAGGCCGGTCAAAGAATCCGTATGTATGGCGGAGAGAGGGGGTATTGCAGATGTCAGAGGCCGCCGTGGTGTTATAGATGAAGCCGAGTTCGCCATACGCATAAGGATCAACATTATCAGAAGGGTTTTCATCGAGTGAGCGCGCTGGACTATCAACTGGACATGAGACTCGGGAGTTTGTCCAGGTCGGTTGGTGTGCGAATCGGTTGAAACGAGTGGTGCGCACCTCGTCAATGCGGTCGCCTTTGTTTAGGTCCGAAGCACGTGGGGACCACGCATTGGTTGGGGTTTTCTTGAACGCTGCTGGTATAACGAAGTCCTTGGCTTTCTGCACCAATCGCTGGAGGTCTTCGTTAGGAAGGATCACGCGAGGCTCGTCGTGGATGTTAAACACCAGGTCCATGTCGGGCAAGTATTTCACGAAAGGATCCATCATACCGGCCGTGGCGTCTCGCTGCCACTTGCGGTCGTCACCCCCTCCATCCGTTAGAGACACTTTCCCGTTGCGAATCAGAACACCGAGCACCGCATTGTCAAATCCAAGTGTCTCGCGCGCCCGGTCGCGAATCGTCTTAGGTTTCAAACCCCAGAAGGGGAGGAGGCTATGATAGATGGAGTCAAAATCATCGACGAGTTGTACATTTCTTGACTTCGCAAACTCGAACCACTTGTCGAAAAATGGCGGCGGGTGCATATTGTAGCGGCGCTGGTATTCACTCACGGCCTCGGCCAGGGTTCTTGATTGGCGTGACTTCGCATGATTGAAATGCTGTTGAGCGTTTCCAATCAGACGCGTGATCGGGTGTTCTTTCTCGGGGAGGTATGTGTTTTGCCCCGCATGGAGTTGAGGGTGTTGTATCGGTTCGGGAGGAGGCAAATCTATGGGCTGCTGCTGCTCTGGGGGAGTTGAGGATCGTAGTAGTAGGAGAGAAAGACAGGCAAGAACACTGATCCCAAGTAACACAATCAACCGTTGGATGCGCATGCTGCCATTGGGGAGAGGCATGAAGAAGAAGAGCGAAGCTAAGTCTTAAGGAGGGTTCTCCATAAGTCTAGAGTTGACCTCGGGCTATTAACCTTATCCGCCAAGCCTTTCTAACGTAATCGTCACAATCTACTCCGTAGTACGGAGTACCCAACTGTTACAAGGGTTTAAAAGACAATGCCTATCAATCATATTATGTTATCTATTTTTATTTGTGTAGTCCCCAATTCTTGAAGGGGGGCAATCTGGCCAATCTAACCAATCTAGCCAATGTATTAATATGTGGCGTTGGCCGACTGCAGGGGACGTACGCCATAATCTAATCCATATACGTGTCACCAAAAGTGCTGGGACTACATTGATGTTGCTACAGAATATCAAGAATATCAAGAATATTGGTTGGTAGAAAGATGGTTGGAACCCTTGAAGGAGTAGCAGATCTAATCACTCTCGAATCTATATTCAATAATACACAATCATGTAAACTATATACAAACATTGTATGTATACAACATAGTCCCTACCCCTTGATTCTCTACTCACTTGTGGTTGGTTTCTATCATTAAGGGGGAGAAAAAAGGGGCACAATTTCATACACTGTATGTACTCCGTAGATCGACACCCTCTCCAAAAACAAGATCTAAACAAGTACAAAACGAAATACATCGCAAACCGTTTGATCAAACCTTGGAAGTAGGTCAGGCATTAGAATCTTCTATTTCCTCCCGCGATAGATAGATTGATAAATGAGGTTCATCCATGGATGCTACACAAGCTTATATGTATGACATCCCTAGACTTCAACATTAGGATACTGACCAACGGATCTTTCTTTCTAAATAACAGCCAAGCATGTCACATTCCTCTAGAATACACTAATATGCCGCCCAACAGCACACCCAATTAAGCACAGAAGCCGCTAAAGTCTGCAGCATGTACTTTTGCGCTTGCTTCACATGAGAGTAAGCCATAACACACAATAATATCACCAAAGATACATGACCAAAGTAAAACATCTTTCTGCGTTCTTGAATGGTTCCCTGCACAAGCCAAGTTTGGAGTCCTTTCTGGGACGCAGGTCGCACGAAGAGGACGAGTAGCACTGCCGAAAATATCGCAGCTAGGCCGAATTGGACATCTAGGTCTTGGACTCGCTTGAAAAGCAATATACCAAATTCAGGATGGCTGGATTGCACGAAGAATAGCGTATACAACGCGGCGTGAGACAACAGAAGGGAGACAACCGCCCGACCAAAGAGACGGTGATACGGTGTCAACACTGGTTGAGGGATACCAGTCAGAAGAGACAGCACAGATGAGGCTGCGGGGCGAGAGATGTATGCCGGGGACATCAGAACCTGCAGTGGTAGTTGGGATAGGCCAACTCGGCCCAATGCTTTGGTCAAATGGAGGTAGTCTAGCATGTTAGCTCGTGCTTCCAACCCACCGGGAGACAAGGACATACCATCACCACTGCCCCATATCGAAAGGCCTACAAGCCATAGCAGCCACAACCCGCAGACAAGATACTGTCGAGTCTTTCCAGAAACCAGCCGATCCCACTTCGCGGTTGATCTCGTAGCAAAGCGAAAAATTCGGATGGCGACAATGACCACAATAATTGACCATTGTGCATAATATCCTCGAAGATCAAGTAGCTCTCTGCGATGCAGCTTGTCGTTTTCGGAGAGAGAAATGAAATGGTATGGCCACGACATGGCGGCTGAGTAACAATATAAATGAGAAATGAGAAATGAGAAATGAGGGTTTCTGTATGATCATAAGTCAATTGACATGCCAATGAGACACAGTGCTGTTCAAAAAAGCATGTTTAGAATGTTGACATTGATATCACAAGTCGATTTGATATACTGCTGGTGGAAAATAAGAAGTCCAACCATGGATGTGCCCTCCCCGGGGGCCCCGGGGCCACCTGGCAGGGTTGCTTTTTGCTGACAAATGAATCTCAATAGCTCCCCGGGCGAACTTCCGAGGTCCAGCCCGAGGGCTGGCTTAAAGCCCTTCGCCTTACGGCCACTATACCGTAGATACACCATGTGAGTGGGCTTACATGCATCGAAAGGTCTTTAGTTGCGCATTTGTTTTTGACTACCTACCCTGGCTAAACAGTATGTGAAACCTCTACATTAAAAACGCCTGAAAGAAAAGGACGCTTGGCTATTCTCTAACCTGACAGGATGTCTTGTCGGGTATTGGCCGAACAAGTGCATAGTTTAAGGAGAGGTCTGCATCTCATCCTGATTGCCACCAGCAGTCGTAGCAAAGTATCGGACATCCACATCGTCATCCTCCTGCAACTTCTCCAGGCTGGGCACAACCCTTGACTGAATCAACTCCAGGCTCTGAGGTGATGGGGTGATAGGCTCTTCAGACTTCTCCACCTCAACCAAGGTCTTATCGGCCGGTAGACGACGCAATGTGGCGATGAGAACGGCGTAAGACTTGGCGACGTTGAAACGGATGTTAGGGATTTCATCTGTCACTAGGCGTTCCAGGATAGGGAGGAGAGAGCTCTCAATAATTTCGAGGTTGACAACGGGGGTGAGAGTCTGATAATTAGCATTGATCGATGTAGTAAGAGAGGAAACTTACAGAAACGGCAAAGCACGTCGTCATGCGGTAAAGATAGTTAGGGTGTTGACCCATGGCCATCACCTTGGGAATGATAGAAGCTTTTGACCACTCCACGCCGAAGACCTCTGTCAGTTTCTTCAAGTTCTCAGTGGCAGCCTCTCGGATGGAGAAG